CGAGGCTCCCAGCCCGGCTCCTCTCCTTCCCACCGCCTTCTCGAGGCACGACCTCCCACATGAGCACGTCTCCCTGCCTTCTGGGATCTCCCTCACCATTAGGCTGGCCTGCTTTGGGCCTGCTGCTCCTGGAGGTGTTCATCTAAACCCGGCAGTCACCCTGGCACTTGCAGCGGGTCTAAGAATAAGCCCTTGGAAAGCTATTCTGTATGTGGGGGGTGCAGTTACTGGGGGCTGTAAGCGCTTGTGGGGCCGTTCTGCACCACTCTGCCACCAGGGGGCACTAAACCAGGTAAGTACAATTTCTTTAAGTGATGGAAATTTACAAACTGAGATGATCGCTCTGTAACTGTCTTGTCTGGAGACTAACATGGAAACTGTGAGTTATATATAATGCCCTGTGACGGACTGGCATCCCGTCCAAGGTGCGTCTGGCCTTGTCCCTTGTGGTTTCTGGGATAAGCTCCAGATTCACTATGACTTTATATTGGATGAACGATTATGTAAGTTGCATAGATGGATGAGTCATAGGCAATTATCAAATAATATTAAGGGAACAGGGGAATTCTCCACTGAAAAAAGGCTCGGCATAAAATATAATTAGTGTATTATTTGCAGCAAGGAAGTCCTTTAACCATTTCCATAATTCATCATCTGATATTAATTATTTATTTATATAGATTTTGTTTCAACCAACCAGTTGAGAATAAAGAGTCACAGTCACAGATACTCAACTGGTTGGTTGAAACAAAATCCTGGTCTGGATTTTTACTCTCTGGACCTGAACTGCGCACCTCTGACGTATATGGGCTCCATTAGGCATAAGTGCAGCTAGGCTGAGCTTAAAGATGAAAGTCCAATTGTGAGCAGTATTACAGCAGCAAAAACATAATAAAACTATTCAAGGGCTGGAAGGCAACACAAGAACATTCAGGGAACACAAAGCGGTGTCAGATATTCCTTTTTGTACGGAAAGAGTTGACTATTCTTCTAGCTTAAGTGAAAGTACAAACATACACATCTAAACGCTGAAGCGTAAACCACACGTATGATAAACTTGATTTCTTTCATCCTCTGTGTTGCCTCCAGATTGGATTGACGGGCTGTGGGATGAATCCAGTCAGGTCCTTTGGTCCAGCTGTAGTCACTCTGAACTTCCACAGTCACTGGGTACCTCTTCTTATCTTACCCGCCATGTATTTTGACAGTTTTGTGTTTTCTTCCCCTGACCGGGCTAAGTGATTATACTGTAAGATGGATAGATGTATAGTTTTGTGTTCTTGTGTCACTTCAGAACAATTACAGTACTGTTCCTTAAAAATTCCATTATTATATATTACTTATCTCTCATGTCTGTATGTATGCATGTGTGTTTTTGGTACTTTTTCCTTGTTTTGAGGTCTGATTCGTTCAGCATAGCATAAGAGTATTTCTGCAGACTATAACTGGGTTTATTTATATAAAAGGACACAATGTAAAATGTATATGATGCAGGCAAACACTAATTCCCTGCAGAACATCAACAGCTTTGACATTTCATTTTTTAAAAATTTGGTTCAATCTCTTTACCTAAACATTTAAGTCCAGGTTGTTGGTACACTCCGTAACTTTGTGATGGATATTAAAGGGCAATGCGTTTCTGAGGCCTGGGTGACTTTGGGTAAAGAGACGGAGATATAGGTACGGTGTGTCCGCAGGTGTACTGGGCAAGGCCGTGCGCTGGGGCGCTGCTGGCAGGAACACTGCATGACCCACTGCTCTAACCCCGCTGGAGTCGACCTGCTGACTGGCTAGATGATCTCAAGCAGATGCTTCTCATTGGCCGCCACAAGCAGCCCGGGATTCTGGGTAACACTGGAGGACAGGGGGCCCCGTCCCTCTGCACAGGCATGCTGCAGATAAGGCATATGTGACGTCACTCTGCTGTTCAGTCCATCCATCCATCCAGCTTCAGTGACCTCTTAGTATAGTTAAGGCCATGGTACCTTCAACATGAAAGAGAACTCAAATCAAAACACTCTCGCCGCGTCACTTGACATTTGATATGAGTGAGAAAATGTGTCCAACTCCACAGCAGTGATGAAATACTGCAAATAATTCCAGCACCTAGGAGAGTCCGTGTTTCCCTTTTGACTTTATAATAGTAAAATTAATCATTTAATTTAAAAAAAGCACCATGAATGAAATGTCACCGCGCTTTCAGCGCCTGGCTAAACATGCAGTGCTACCCAAAACACACACGCCGTCTGTTCCCACGGAGATGAACAGATTTCCTGAGGGTCAAAGGTCAGGCAGCGGGATAATGATTCTTCTCACCCGTGACTTTCTCTAAATTATAAATGTCTATCACCAGGGGGCCAGTTTTTCTATTAACCTTCTTAGATAAATTAATGTCTTTTCATATCTCTCAGTTTCTCTATTTCATAGAAATATACCATTAAAGAGGCCTTGTCTCTACCTGGACCAGGTTCAGTTTAATTAAACCAATTCAAGATATAGAATTACAAGTATAATCAGTTGGATAAATGATACTTGCACTGGTTTTATTTCATCATGCGTTGTATTTTCAGAAAGTTCAGGTCCAGAGAGTAGAAATCCAGACCAAGATTTTGTTTTAACCAGCCAGTTGAGTATCTGTGACTGTGACACTTTATACTCAACTGGTTGGTTGAAACAAAATCATGGTCTGGATTTTTAGTTTTGGACCTGAACTATTGACCTGTAATATTACCCAGAATTGCACATTACCTTTAGCTATTGTAAATTTACAGAAGGGAATTTAATAGATGTCACAGAGTACAAACGAGAATGGCCGAAGCGGTAAACATATAGAACAATGCGTGTCGCCTCCATAATGCTGCTTGCCAAGCCAATAAATTAAAAATGGAATGGTGGAGTACACCTACTCCACAAGAGGCGTGTTTGATCTTCAGCCCACGCTGGGTAAGTTGAAGTTGGAGTCTGGTTTTCTTGTCTCTATGGAGAAAGTAAAATGCGACAGAGACCAAATATCTTTGTGTGCAATCCTCAAAAAAAAAACCTCAAAATGAAAAATGTGTTGTGTTATCTTACTTAAGCTTTAACATTATCACGGGTACACTTGTATACTTTGAGTCTTCCTTAGAAACACTGTTTATGACACACTTTCACTATTTTAACATGCTGGCTTTCGAAAATGAACACCCGAAGTATTCTTGGTTATAATTCATGTTTTATTAATAATATGTAGATGTGGGCTAGGGGCCAAAGGTGACATTTCATCAGGGGGCTGAGAATTTCTAGCCTTAGCATGTGATTGGCTGCCTTCAGAGGCGTATCTGCCACGAGCCGCCGCATATTGATAGATTACAGTGACGCAGACGCATATTCCCTCTGACACTTTCAGAGGGATCACAGTTCATACGTTTCCCCCCCCCCCAGTGCCCAATTACTCCATTTATGATGGGTGTCCACCTGAAGACAGGGCACCCTGATGTGTATGCTGATGTCTGTACAGAAATTTCCATTGTACATGCCAGGGTCTTCATCCAGCGAGACAGCACAGCTAGAAGATACTAGGTCCTACTGAAAATTAAGCCATACCTTTGTAGGCGTCCAGCCAATACCAACCATATACACCCTCAGAAAAAGGGTAACAATTAGTAACTTTGCTTATCACTGAGGCTGTACCCTTGTAATTATACTTTTTAAGGTTCAGAAACGGGATTCTGAGGAACATCCCAAAGGTACAAATATCATTAATGTACCATCAATGGTACAGAAATGTTCCTCAGAGTATATTTCTGTACCTTAAAAGGTACAATTACCAACAGCTAAGGGTACAATTGGCAGACAAGCAAAGATACACAGTTACCCTTTTTTTCTGAGTTTAGAACATGAAATCCCAGCCAGACTACCAAGTCAGTTAAAATCGTACTTAGGCCTCTCTAAATGTCAAATGTGATCCCTAAGACAAACAGGGGAAACTACAAAAGTCCCAATATGTGCATATACAGAACTGAACTTATGGTGCAAATATTACCGATGTAGTACACCCAGCAAGAATACATCCAATGTGTGGAGGTAAAGAAAAATGAAATGTTTCTAACAGTTTACGTCTGTGCCACTGTGAAGGAGTGTAACACTGTGGTAATTTCAGGATCAGTTGATTTCCCGACAGCTTGAAAGATCTGATCGAACGAACCGCTGTTGAGATGTTTCCAGAAAGGCTGGCATGAGTCACCGGCTGTCTCCGTGACGTCTTAAGCCGGCAGGTGCAGGCATCTGAGGAGCCAACCAAGAAAAACTGGCCTGTGGCTTGTTGATCTTTTAAGAGCTGAGAACCCAGAGACCTTTTTCTATCACACTGGTTCTGTCACACAGTGGGTTGCTCTGTGTATGTCTGTAGGGGGAAATGTCCTGTACTGCACAAATTAATTAAGGACATTCTATAATGTGCGTAAGATGTGCACACTTTACACTTATCGTAGCTGCGCAATAATTGCTTCGAAGTGTCTGTGCACTTCACTTACCAAACTGATAAAAAGATTGCAGGGATACAAAAACAACAGTCGAATAATAAAGGCCATTCAAATGCCTGCTCTTTTAGCAGGTCTGACATCAGCCGTTTGGGAACAATTTCACAAACCCATTATCTTTAATCTCTCAGCCTCTAGTTGTTTTGGTTCCACACCCTGATAATCTGACCGTTGTTTACAGCACTGCTGCCTGTTTACACACACTCTCCCGGTGAACTGCGTACTCCATACCTTGCAGACATTTTGCATCTGCTGTTTTGAGCCCTTTTTATTCTGTTGGCTCTACTTGTCTTCATTGTATTTTAATTAACATTGCTGCAATACCTGCAAACTCTGTAGATTGTTTGTGCTGTGTATATTTCCTGGTTCTTATTATGCTTTTGGGTTTATAATAATTTTACATTATCTTTTTCAAGTTGTTTTTTTATTATTATTATCCTCCAATTTATTTGCTCAACGATCATACTTTTTTTGTAGAATTACTTTTGCTGTATATTATTATGTATAAACAATGCAGTCTTCAAATTGCCTGAAATAACAGTAGGCTACTAGAAATGCAACTCTTCTTCAAAGATGTCGATTCTGGAATATTTCTATGTATGGCAAATAGGCAACTGAAGCGATTATGTACGCAAAGACATATTTGGTAAAGAACTTCAACTTTCCAACCACATTTCCTACTCATCTAAGCTGCAGGCAATGTCTGATACTGCCTTACGGTGCATTGCGGAAATAAGATAGCAGATACAGTGGAATAGCTGCACAAGGAAAAGGCGTATCTTCATACTGTATATAACTCTCACTGCAGTACCAAAGAACTTCACTGCAGAAAAAAAAGATGAAGAGAACAAAGAATCATCTGTTGCTACTTGTGTGTCTTGTGTTCAGTACTTTTCCTCATTTTGCTTCTGCCTTAAACTTGGATGCAGAAAATGTTGATGTTTATTCCGGTCCGGAGGGAAGCTATTTTGGATTTTCTGTGGACTTTTATAAAGACGAAAATAACTTGTGAGTACCTCCTTCAAACACTACATGCCTGCCTGACATCTCTAGGATTTCTGAAGCATCATGCCTCAATGTTTGAGTGATCCAGTGACACCCACGTAGCTGTTAACCTTCCCCCCCCCCAGGCCTGAATTCTGAACTGTACTGTTTCTGTAATCATTTTTAGAACTAAAATTTAAAACAATGATTATTTTTTGAATGCTGGAATTCAATAATATTCATTCTATTCTTTTCTTTATTTCAGTGTAAATCTGACACGTACTAGCAAATCCTGTCTTCAGGTGTAGCGTCATGGATGAAGGCTCCATGTCTTACCTTCTGAGCAGTGTAGATCCGCGTGGGCTCACAGGCCTGGCATCGGGTTCGGGGCAGGAAGCCTCCATGGTGGAATGTCTGAGAAGCTGTTCATTTTCTTCTTCTCCAGGGTCAGTCTAGTGGTGGGGGCCCCTAAAGCCAACACAAGCCAGCCTGGAGTGACAGAGGGTGGGGCAGTGTTCCACTGCCTTTGGTCTCAAGGGAATAGCACGTGTGACAGGATGGCCTTTGACGGTGAAGGTAAATGGTCACGCCAGTCATGCAACAACAGCAGTGCTATGCAGAGACTTTTGGAGGAGCAGGTGCTGAATGGGGGGGAGGGGGGGCTTGGTAAATTTTATGTAATTGTTGGTCATCCAAATGGGGATATTTAGGACCCCACCAGGCGCATCAACAACACACAAGTAAAATCACAGTTGTTCTGCACAGTGTTGCGAAAACATAAAACTAGAAATTATTTATTATCTTACTCATCAAATACTTAATCTTTGTTATGACTCTTGGAAAGGAGCATCAAATGCGTGTTGGAGTGTCTGCATAAATATGAAATTCTGAATAAAATCAGAAAATTGTTATTATTCCCTCGCGTACTCTTTCATGAGGCAATGTATAATTATGTTTTAATAGGCAGTGAAAATTATTCCTACTCCAGCTACCGCATAGAAGCGTCCAAGTCGCACCAGTGGTTTGGAGCCAGCGTGCGGGTTGCGCCCGGCTACGTTTTGGTAAGCGCCGCATCTTCTAGTCACCTAGGACAGAGGTCCCACACCTTTTGTTTGGTAGCCCCTGAAGAATCGAGCCGAAGGTATAACTTGCTTAAGGATTGCTACCGATAGTATATGTCGGGGGTGGGGGGGGGCGAAGAAAGAATGTTTAAGTTTCTTCTTTTTTTGGCGTCTTCGGAAAATCATTTCGCCCACCCTCCGAATTGTTTGCCCCGCAGTCTACGAGCCGGTAGGGTCAATCCGCACCCCGCTGGGGATCTCACTCCACTGGTCCGTGTATCACTACCAGGCTTGTGCCCCACTGTACCACTGGAACGTAAAGGAAAACAAGAACGAATCGGGGAGCACGCCAGTGGGGAACTGCCAGATGCTGGACGTGCAGTCGGGGAAGCTTACTGAATACGCCCCCTGCAAAGACCTGCTGATTGATCGGGTGTATGAGGAGAGGAACTTCTGTAAGTACGAAGACACTAATCTGGGCAATTTATCATCACCCTTCAGATAGGTGCACTTATTAATATTTTAGCTGACTTGACTAATTTTACAAATACATCAAACATATAGGATACTATAGTCAGATGTTTAGACCAGCGTTTCTCAACCTGTGGGTCGCGACCCAAGATCTGAGGGGGTCGTTATATATAACGAGTCTTGGGTCTGCAGCTGCTTAGCGCAGAACCAGTGACCAGTCAACCAATCCAAGAAGCCAAACCATAGATGCTTAATTTAAAATTCACTGGCGCGTCCAATCAGATTTGTGCAATAGGCTTTGATTGGCGTAATTTAAACCTATACAATAGTAGGCTATATAGGGTCGCGACTGAGCTGGCATGGTGAAAATTGGGTCGCGGTGCAAAAAAAGGTTGAGAACCACCAGTTTAGAGCCACTGTATGGAAGTTGGAAACTTTTTCTGGGTTGGGTTAAGATCTTCTTGTTAAACAAAAGTGAGCGAAATGGTTGTTTTCTTTCTGTCCCATTCCAAAGGACCACACGCCTGATGTATTGCTAACATGTGCATTTACTTTCTCAGATCACGACAGGCGATACTGCGAGGCTGGATTTAGTTCGGACATTACAAAGGTGCAGATCGTTTACTGTATTTTTCTAATGTAAATATCGTGGTAATATCGTTACCTTTTTACCTTTTAATTACTTAGCTATAAGTCTCAGACCATGTTCTTTTCTTAAAGGATGGAAAGGTTGTTCTTGGTGCACCAGGTGGTTACTACTTCGAAGGTAAATTAAGATTTAGAAATAAGCTTTCCTTTAAAAGTAAAGGGAAATGTCATGGGTATTGATTCAGTAAAATGTTCCCATATAGAAACGTCACTGCTGTATTTAATATTTTTGCAGTGAATCGGATTGTGCATTGATCTGTTTAAGTGTATCTGTTGTCTGACAGATAGAAAAGGTAGGGGTTAAACGAAAAGATAAAATAAACACAGATGGCTGGCGCCCCCTACAGTCACCAGTCAGGAATTATGTTCGCGACGTTAGTTCCTTGCACCCTCGTGTCTAGAAAGTTGCAAACTGCCGGAGGCAAACTATTTATCGTTGTTTTAAAAGTCTAACATCAGAGCATGAACTTCGGTTATGTTATGGTTGACAGTAGTCAGAGGACGTGTATATAAGACACGGAATGTATGGTCTTGTTCGTCACCCACAAACCGCGTGCGGTGCAGAAAATGACAGCGCAGTGCCTCCGTGTTGCAGGTCAGATTATCGCCGCGGATGTACCTCACGTTATTAAAAGCAGTCAGACTTCAAACCCAGTGCGATATGTGGAGAACACAGTCCTGTCGCCGGAGATGGGTAACTACGATGTCTATAAAGGTAAGGGTGCCCATACCCTATAAAGGAGCCCACGTCATCACATTATGCAGATTATGAAAGAATAAATTATTCAAATTTAATTTAAAAATGTACACGTGCAATGACAATGTCAAAAACATGCACGTGTATATTTATTGTTTTGCATATTTCAGTATACATCACGACTACCGTGAAACCAGAAAACGGTTGTGTTAGACATGGATATTTAAGTATATGTTTGTTTATTATTTATTTATTTATTTATTGCCTTTTAATTTAATTATTCACATGTTTTTTCCCTCCCATTTTCCCAGTTAGTAATATAAACTGAAGCCCTGTGGATTTTTCGTCATATGTACTTATATGATTCATGAACATTTAATTTATATGAGCAAAAACACATTTCTTTCTCCTTGGCTTTTAAAACCTGTGATCTGTTATGCAGCAGCGTCCGTGTCAAGTTAAAGTTGTATTTACCACATAGACAATGATGCACTGTATCTGTTTATACTGAAATGCTTCCCCGCCTACTTCCAGAGTTGTGCCTGAAATGACGTAGGCCTATGTGATACAAAGCAAAACAAAATAGTATAAAAATAAATAAGATTAAAATGCAGAGGCAGACTAACTTCTCTGGGGGCCCTAGGCTGACATGGGGTAGGGGGGCCCTAAGTGCGCCATTCCAGCTAGAGAGGGGGGTATCACTCCAGTGGATTAATTGGGCAAATTTACAATATATTAGGCCTATATTAATGTAGATTATAACATCTAAACAAAGATCACAGCTTATAATATCTAAACAAAGATCACAGATTATAATATCTAAACAAATATCATAGATTGTAATATCTAAACAAAGATCACAGATTATAATATCTAAACAAATATCATAGATTGTAATATCTAAACAAAGATCACAGATTATAATATCTAAACAAATATCATAGATTGTAATATCTAAACAAAATTGTTATTTAAACAGTTTGGAGTGGACATTTCATCTAAGTGTTTTGATCTATGTGTTTTGTTAATGAAGTCCTGATCAGCAGGGAGCCCCTAGAGTGAGGGGCCATGGATGTTCATCCTTCTGCCTCCCTTGAAACTCCGCCCCTCTTAAAAGAGCAATAAACAATAACAAAATAAAAATAGAAATGAACAAATAAATAACAACGTTTTAAAATAACAATAAACAACAACAAATAACATAATTGCAAAACAAACAATAAAAATAACCGCAAGGATACAGTATATTTATGATCTGTTAGCTGTGGGAGTCTGTTGGTCTCTCAGTTTTAGTCTTCAGGCTGCTGTAAATCAACACGGACAGGTCTTCCAGAGTATAGGGGGCTGCATTAGCAACTTATCAATAGCGTGTTTGAGTACAGCTGCTTTGTACGTCATCACTGATCGAAGGAGATGCATTACTGAATATCACTGTGTCTGTTTGTCAGGTTATTCGGTGGCTGTTGGCGAATTCACGGGAGATTCCATCCCTGGTATGTCGGCTAACTCTGACGGCTACTTTCTACTGTAAAGGTTTTGTTTTCCTGCTGAATGTTATATGCATCATAATGTCAGCCACATATTTGAAAATATGATTTATTGGCTCTGCAAGACTATGATATGGAGTGATATTTGCGTAATTTGTTTCAGACTATGTGGTCGGAGCTCCCAATGATCAGAACACAGTTGGTTCAGTAAGTTTCGCTGCCAGATCGTTACTCCTGTCAATGCTACGGGAGTAGGCTAAAATTAGCCTTATTCACTTTCATTAGAAAGGACAGAATCAGTTTACCGGGGCATGGATTGCATTTGGACAAGACAGAGAAAGTAGCTCTCTGAACTATGTGTTTATGTCATTCCACAGCCTCACTTCAGACATTTGCTGTTTTAGGTTAAAATCTACAATGGAAATACAAGGTATTCTTTACAGATGTCCCACACATTCTACGGCACCCAGGTGAGACCCTTCATGCGCGGCATAAACGGAAGCTTTCGCTGTGCCCAGCATCTCAGCATTTGATTAAAGTGATATGAGCTTCTGTATTATTGCTAGTGTTACTGATTTAAAGAGCTGAAAAGCCCCACACCCTGCAGGATGAAGAGTAGGTACCAAAGACAACAAACATTGTTTATTTAAATCTCCTCTTCAGGTTGCCTCATATTTTGGTCATGCTGTCGCAGTGACTGACATCAATAACGATGGGTAAGGCACCAGGGCGCTTATTAGTGACGAACAAAATGACGCGTCATGAACCATCTGCCGTATTTTTTGACCCCACTAGATGGTGCTCTTGGTTTGCTTTGAAGCATTCTTTGTGCCCTTTTTTAACAGAGAGCACCATGTAGTGGGGTCAGAAAATACAGCAAATTGTTATTATAAATAATAATTAATGCATCACAAATGCATTCTGGGTATCCTACGCTTAATCTATATGAATCTAACTCTGAATGAATCCTCTTTCCCTAAACAAAGTCATGCCTTTCCCTGTACCTGCAGACGTGACGACATCCTGGTTGGGGTGCCGCTCTTTATGCAATGGCAGTCATCCAAACAGCTGCTTGAAGTGGGGCAGGTGTTGGTGTACCTTCAGAAGGAGCGATCCACCTTCTCCAGCAAGCCTGATCAGAAGCTAATAGGCGCAGACGCGTACGGCCGCTTTGGAAGCGCCGTTGCACCGCTGGGAGACATTGACCAGGATGGCTTCAATGGTCAGGCAGCCTCCATAGTTTTCTGGCCATAAACTTCACGGCCATCAATGCCGATGGTGCCTTTTTGAAGTCTTAGAATGCTGAAATTCTAATGTTTTTCCTCAGATATTGCAGTAGGGGCGCCCTTCTCTCACGGCGAGGGCCGGGTGTTCATCTTCATGGGGCAGGCTGACGGCTTATTGTCCCAGCACCCCCAGGTTCTCCAAAGTCCATTCCAGAACCTGCCAACCCCGGCAGCATTTGGCTTCACCCTGAGGGGGGCAACTGACATCGATGCCAATGGCTACCCAGGTCAGATTAAGAAGTCGTTTCTAACAGTTCGCTCTTGCTCTCACTCTTTGTTGATCCCGGGAAGTGTTGAGTACATATGTGTGTGTCTCGGGTCGGGATGCTGGGGCTGTGACTGGAAGGTCGCCGGTTCAAACTCCAAACTCAGCAAAGCAATTTCACTGCTGGGCCTCTGAACGAGGCCCCCAGTCCCAAATTGCTCCATGACCGACCTCCTTTCTCCATTGTACAATGTACATTAAAATACCTTTTTGTTTGCGCAAGCCTATGGCGTGAAAAGCACTATATAAATAAATGTAGTATTTATTATTATTATTATTATTATTATTATTATTATTGATTTTGATAAATGTGACTATTGTAGATAGTTCTTAATTAGTGTACCCAGAAGTTGTCTTTTGTTCGGGCAACAATATAATTGAAATATAATTAAATGGTAAGTTTTTTGTTCTTAAAAAGAACATAGTTGCTTACCCAAAACCGGATTGTGAGTACAGATCCATATCTGTCTTCATGACAAGCCAACCACAATGTACTTTCCTGTGTGTCACCTAAGTCTGTCTCCAGCACAACAGTTTCTGACAGCATCGGTAAATTTCAGCAGTTCAAATGACAGGTAAAAGGCTGTCACTCGTCAAGTTCTCACCTTCATGGAGGGTCAGAGATGGGAGTCTGTAGAAGATGTCCCAAACTGGGGCAGAGGGCCCTCTCCCTGCGGTCATGTTTCCTAACGTGTGGCATTTCATTTTTAGGGCTGTCTTCGACTTTCCCCAGATAAATGACATTTCAGTTCACCTCTCTCTGACAGTGAGCGCTAAGTGACAGTTCCATCAGAGCCTCTACTTTCTTGCAGATCAAGCATTAAATTGCCCAGTGATACATCACTGCACTGCACTGCACACGAGAAAAACTGAGCACTTAATGGGTCGTATGCATGTAACTTAGTGAGAAATATCTCCTAGGCAGAATGAGAGAGGATGTGGACTCGTGAAAGTTACACGTAGGAGTATTTCACTCTCCGGATATTTTTATGAATCCTGTACTGGCTTCCAGTGCATTACCACGCATTTTTCGAAGGAGCGAATAATTGTAATAACTGTCAAAGCGTTTCTAAAGACAAAGGTATATTTTTATCTGCCTTTTTACAGATCTTGCAGTTGGAGCATGGGGAGCCAGCAAGATCGCTGTGTACAGGTAGGGTGTAGCTACTGAAGCGTGGATTATCTGGGGGGGGGCAGGGCATCCTGCATAAAACATTCACGTAAACATCAAAGTGAATAATCATAATGTAAATGCCAGGCCCTGTGTCCGCAGATCTGTTGTCAGCACCTGCACATTATCCCGTGCATTTATTGCAAATGATCTGGTAGAGAAATAAACAAAATTAAAAATTGTTGAAGATTCTCAGTCATCCAGGTGAAATTGTTTGGTGGCTGAGTCATGGCAACTGGATTATTCTTCGTTAAATAACGACGATTGGATGAGCTTCTAGATACAATGAGTGTTTTAATAATGGTGTTTAATTTTGTGTTTAATTTTTAACATATAGTGCTTTTAATTACTAAATGCATATCTTCTGAATTCAAGAAATACATGCCTGTATTATTGTTATTAGTATGAATGTTAGTAATACTGTTATTAGTATTTCAGTTGTAGTATTACAGAGATGTCAGTGAAATACCATCAGTGTGTGTGTGGTATGTTGTTGGTCTGCAAAGGGCACAAGCCGTGGTAAGAGCCAAAGCCCTTATCTCCCTGCACCCCGATTTCCTGAACCCTGACGTCAAGCTCTGCCAGCTTCCGGCGACTTCCAGGGACGTCTCCTGGTAGGACAGTTTTTCTAACCTCGTTAAATACGTGACTCGTGAACCATTGTTCCCAGTAATTACCGCGACGTGTTGACTGACAGGAACGCACTTATTTGGAGATAAGGAGGGTAAAATGATAGTAGGAATCTGATAATTATTTTCCATTTTTTCAACGTAGCTTCACAATCCAGATGTGTGTCAGCGTGTCTGGCCACAGAATTCCAGAACAAATAGGTAAATGTTTTGTATGCACTATAGACCAAAACTGTGGAAACATCTAGCATGTTTGGCATTGCATTTTAAAAATTACTACACAAATATTGGGGGGAAATGTTTATAAGAATGTTACAAATATCATACATTGGACGATTAAATAAGTAACTGGAGCAACAGTTGAATAAAGTTCCGCAATCTCTAAAAATTGGAAGCGTTTCCACAATTTTGGCCACTAATGTAACATGTCTCACTTAAGATTTAAATTAACATTTAATTTACGTAATTTAAGTAATCCTACCCTAGGACTAATAAATAGCCGCCTACCTGCTTACTGAATTCTCGTCTTTCACCATTCTCTTCAATCTCATTGTGACACCTCTGTGACACTTCCAGTTCTGAACGCTGAGCTTCAGCTAGATAAGATGAAGCAGAAGACTGCCAGAAGGACCCTCTTCCTGAAGTCCAGTCAGCCACAGGAGAACCTCTCCCTGAATATCCTAAAGCGGGTGGGCGTGGCCTGTATGAACCATACTGCCTACCTACGGGTAAGTTGCTCCAAGTGAAACACCAATCGTATGTTACTTGAATAGGGAAAAGGTCCAATGAATTTTCCTGCTTGTACTGGTTTTCAATAGTAACATTTTTATTAACCAATCACAAAGTCTTGCAGTTTTATCTGACGTTACCTGAACATTTTCTGTGCAGCATGAGTCGGAGTTCAAGGACAAGCTGAGTCCCATCTTCATCGCCCTGACCTACAGGCTGGCAAACTCCACCCAGGCTGTGCTGCAGGGCCACATGTCAGCAGTCGCACAGGTGACGTTGTGGGGAAATACGAAGGCAGGGAATAATGCTTCCGTGAGCATGTGTCTTAAACGTGGTCATGTGACTGTGCCTAGACGATCCTTCCTGATGTATGAACGGAAATGGTTTTGGATTATCTAGGGCTGTGGTTCTGGTTCCTGTTCCTACTCCGTGTGTGGAGTTTGCATCTCTCTCCATGTTGTGTGCATTTCTCCAGGTACTCTGGTTTTCTCCTGCAAAGCGTATGATTGTGTACATGCATGTGTGCCCTGTGATGGACTGGCCTCTCATACAGGGAGTCCCCTGCCTTGTGCCCTGTGACGGACTGGCCTCTCACACAGGGAGTCCCCTGCCTTGTGCCCTGTGTTTCCAGGCTCATTCTGACCCCATATTCAAAAAGATGTGTCACGTGTGTGAAATAGATCCTTTATTTTGCTATTTGCACAAGTGCAGGTACATTGGGATGCTTTTCTTCACCTGCCCCATCCTGCTCTCCATAGCTTGGGGGGGGGGTCACAGCCAACAGGCAGCACCCATGGAGCTTGTTCAAGGGCCCACGGACATGTGACCGTTTTGCCAAGGCTGGGGCTTGAACTAGCAACCTTCCGATTACAGGCACTGCTTGTTCTATGCAGGGTTAAGAGGGTCCACAGCCAATCCTGGAAACAATGGACACAAGGCAGGGAATAACTCAGGACAGTGTACCAAACGACTGCAGTGGATGGTGTAATATTATAATTAAAATATGTACGGGTCCTGGAAGGAAGGTGTGGATGCACATTGGTTATTGGCTTTTTTATCTTGTGTTACAGACCCGCATTATATTGGACTGCGGCGAGGACAATGTGTGTGTCCCTGATCTGAGGCTGGCAGCCAAGGCGTAAGTATCTTCTCACCAGTAATGCTCACTGCAGACGCTGTGTCATTTGTCTCTACACGAGTATCCAGGAAACACGATAACGTGTCAGCAGTGGGCAGCGCATCTTGTATACGTCAGAAAAGCCACATCCCTTTGTGTAGGGTCTATGTGTGAATGACTTTCCGCTTTCGCAGTAAGTTCCTGATCGCCTTGACCAAAAATGGCCGAGAGAGACACGCCCAGACATCGTTTGGCCTCGGCCCTGGTTTTCATCCGGAATATATGTTTATGCATCTCCGCTGATGATTTTGTGATTCGCCCCGAAAGGGAAAATGACCGTCTGCTAATTGGAGACGAGAATCCGGCGCTGCTGCTCATTGATGCAGAGAACCGGGGGGAGGGAGCCTACGAGACAGAGCTGCAGATCCACCCGCCCCCTCACACGCACTACCAGGGGGGGCTGAGCAGCAGAGAGGTGACGCCTGCATCCACGTGATCTTCTCGCCCTGCCTATGTTACCTACACCCAGATGTTCTGTCAAAATTCATGCATCACACAATGAAATGACTACAAGATTAATTGGTCAACTAACTGATTAATTGCTACGGTAATTGATTGCTTGATGGATTTTAGCATTTTGTATTATTTCAAATTTGCATCAGCTAAGTTCAAAAGTATTACACAGAAATATAGTCTGTTTCAAATACTGTATGAAATGCAACCTGTAATCACGTTAAAATCTATTCATGCATACAGACTCTTAAAATGTGGTTTCAATTGGAATGCTCTTTTGTAAGATAAAGGTGAAAGAAAAGCATAGAATTGCAACCCCATTCCCTTGAAAGCTCCCAAGTAAATAGAGTGTGACGTCACCAGTTTGAGATTTATGACAAGCAAGCTTTGTTTATACCAAAGGAACTGACCCCACGTGGGAAATAAGGGTGTTTGGCGGATCAGGGCTTTAGTTTTGCTGTCATGAGGGATAAAGATGTGTTCGAACATGCATACGCCTGTGAATGGTTCAGATTAGCATCAGAAGACTAGCTAAGCTGTGTTTTTGGAGTGATACGACTATCAATCTCCACCAGGGTTTCAGTCGGCTAATGTGCTCTCAGAAGAAGGACAATGGGACGGTTGTTGTGATCTGCGATCTGGGAAACCCAATGAGGCAAGGGCAAAAGGTGAAGGCCGGACTCGATGTGCCCTTATTAACTTTGGAGTTACATATATTCATATTCATGCCAGTGCTGACTGCGGAAAGCCAATTTCCAGAGGTGGATAGTTCCGATCCGGAAAGTAAAAATCCAGACCAAGATTTTGTTTCAACCAACCAGTTGAGTATAAAGAATCACAGTCACAGAGAACTCAAAGGGTTGGTTGAAACAAAATCTTGGTCAGGATTTTTCCTTTCCGGATCTGAACTGTCCACCTCTGCCAATTTCCAACCAGAAATATACTTAATGAGTGATACTTTGTGTCATCTTCATTTCTCTTGCGTGCGGTAATGTTCCTTTTTCTATCTGACCTTTAATTTGCTACAGGTGCAGGCAGGTCTCTATTTCAGCGTGGGTAACCTGGGGGACGTGGACAGCCATGTGTCATTCCAGATACAAATAAAAAGGCAAGACAAGTGCCTTCTTTTTTTTTACTGACTTTCTGAGTGTGAGTGTGATGCCAGACTTGTCTCATTCCGATTTTAATCCCCAGCAAGAACAGCCTCAACCCAGACAGCAACCTTGTCGATCTGCCCCTCACCGTCAGCGCCGTGGCCACTCTGGAAATGAGAGGGTGGGTCTTAGCATGTCAAACTTTCAGAAATATCCTCCACATTCCAATTTAAAGTAGGATAAAATATTAGTGCAAGTGTAGAGCTTGGTGCCCTTAGCTCGATCGACTGAAGTTCACCAAAAAATGCAATAATCGGAGCAGGGGTAAAGTAAAAAAATTCTACAATTGGCTCAGGGGTGCGGTAGTGTGGGAGAAAGTTAGGGCGATTCCAGGGGCCCCTAAGTGACTGTGGCCCTAAAAAAATATTACCGTAATTGAATTGGTCTGGGTTAGGGACCCAGTATGATATGCTTCTGTGGGGCCCCTGAGTGACTGTGGCCCTAAAAAATTTTTGTATCGTAATTGAATTGGTCTGGGTTAGGAACCCAGTATGATATGCTTCTGTGGGGCCCCTGAGTGACTGTGGCCCTAAAAATTTTTTGTATCGTAATTGAATTGGTCTGGGTTAGGAACCCAGTATGATATGCTTCTGTGGGGCCCCTGAGTGACTGTGGCCCTAAAAAATTTGTAGCGTAATTGAATTGGTCTGGGTTAGGGACCCAGTATGATATCCTTCTGTAGGGCCCCTGAGTGACTGTGGCCCTAAAAAATTTGTAGCGTAATTGAATTGGTCTGGGTTAGGGACCCAGTATGATATCCTTCTGTGGGGCCCCTGCTTTGGCTAATCAGAAGGAGCCAGAGGAAAAAGGAACCAGACCAGTCTGAAGCACTGCTTCCCCGTTTCGGCAGGGGTTCCTCCCCTGCGGAGTGTGTTCTGCCCATCGCTAACTGGAAGCCAGCGCCACAGCCCCAGACTCTAGAAGGTGTCGGTCCTCTTGTGGAACACGTATACGAAGTAAGTCAAAGTCCAGTCACTTTGTTGATATTTCACACATGTGACACAAAATTGTATTTCTGAGGAGTATCGGACAGCTAGATCAAATGGATTAAAAAATGCACAATAGTGACTCATCAATGCCAGTAAACAGTATATGTATCTAGACAGTATATATAGATTGTGTGTGTGTGTGTGTGTGTGTGTGTGCATGTGCAAAATAACCATATAGTGCAAGTTCAAAGCACAATGGTTTTCCATCCTTAAAATAGCAACTTACTCCAGAGTGTTGGCTATAAAATCTTTCCTGAAAAAGGACTTATGTTAGGAAGTGTGGTTGTGTCTCTCTGGTTGATCTTCCAGCTTCGCAACTTGGGTCCAGCCACAGTCAATGCCAGGGTGCGGGTGGATTTCCCCACCCGTCTGCAGGGGAAATTCCTGCTGTATGTGTTCGCCAATGCCTCAGAGGAATCCCTAACCTGCCACACTAACGCCGCTGATATCGATCCCTACAATGTAAGGATCTCACGCCCATTTAGAGAGTCTTTCTAGTCTTTTATAGAATATTTAACATTTAAATTAATGACGAAACGATCAAATTTCGTAGATGTTTTGTCCAATCACTTGAATTTAGGTTTCTAGAATTAGCCTCGGCACCCAAGAAGACAGATTAGTTCTGCTTTTTATCTTTCCTTTGCTTTAGCTGGTTAAGGATAACGCATTCAATATAACCACTGCCCGAATTCATCGGATCGACAAGCGCGCGGCAGAGGAGGCTGAGCCCCTGCGCGAGGAGACAGTGCACGTGGTAGGAGAATACCCCGCACCCACGGAAATCGCACAAGCCAGTAGCAATTCCAATAACTGCCACCAGAGGGGGATATCTTCCCAAAAATTAAAATGAACTTAGCGCTGCCTTACTAATATTTCAAGCGTTAGGTTACATTATATTAATTATATTATATTATATTAATTAATTGTATATTAATTCTAATTGTTCATTTTACCGACGTATTATATTGCATATTATTAATTTACTACCTATTTTATTCATGAATGGCATTTCAATGAAAGCTGGCTTTGATTAATGCATTTGCTTCACTGATGTGAGTGAATGAATTTTGCTGGCAGAACTGCTCGGGCAATGATGTCTGCTTGAGCTTCGTCTGTGAGGCCAAGGGCTTGGAGATGGGTGGCAGTGCTGTGGTGAAGGTCATGTCCAGACTGTGGGTGCAGACGTTTCTGGAGGTAAGAGCAAATCCGTAGATAAAACAGGAATAGATTCTCAATAACAAAGGGAGGTTCTATGCATTTGGTTAATTTTACATCCAAACGGCAAGTCAGTAAGGATAATATATACCTTTCAAAAATGCTGGAGCTGATGATTTTCAGCGCAACCTTAGTTGATTGCGTTTTCCTTCCTTGTTCTATAAACATCTTCTTATTTTGACATATGCCCCATCTCTCCCACTTTCAAGAGACCCTATGAAGTCTTCGTGCTTCACTCTAAAGCCTATTATGAGCTGGAGAGCATGCCCTCCAAGATCCAATCAGAGGTGCACCTCAGTGGCCAATCAGAGGTGAGACAATGCAGCTTTCCAGTGGCAAACCACTGGGCTTCTTTAGAGAGATATGTGCCGAGATGGAAAGTACACATCCAGACCAAGATTTCGATTCAACGGACCAGTTTAATATAGAGTGTCGCATTCAGAGAGTTCTCAGCTGGTTGGTTGAAACAAAATCTTGGTCTGGATTTTTAACTTTCTGAAACTGAACTATCCACCTCAAGGTTTGAGGGAACATAAGCAGAAGACATAGGGCTCCAAACCCCACAGCACTGCTGTCTTGCCCTTGAGCACAGGGCACATCGATTTAAGTGTGAGAGACTCACAATTATCCCTCTACACAGGTTGGACAATGAAACAGAAACACTGACCAGTGCAGTGTTTGCGGTTTCACGCCTATATATGGGCGGCCTGGTGGCCAATCCTCACTGATCACACGTTCCATCAGTAAGAGCAGAGTGTGAAGATTGAATTCACAGAGCAAAAGCACAGCTGTACATAAATTTCTGCAATCCACACAACATAATGGGAGACATATCAGAGTTCAAAAGAGGATAAATTGTTGGCGTGAGTCTCACTGGCGCATCTGTGACCAGGACAGCAAGTCTTTGTGGTGCATTGAGAGCCTCAGTATCCAGGGTAATGTCTGCATAGCACCATGAAGGACGGACCAGATTCAGCAGGAGTAACTGTGGATGCACGAGGAAGCTGTCTGACAGGGATGTTCAGGCACTAACTTAGATTGTACCCAAAAATCATAAACCCATAACCCATTATTGTTTTGGAGGAGCGAGTCAGGAAACGTTTTCCTCCACCAGCATCACATAGTGACCTGGCCACTGTTCTACAAGAGGAACAATCCCTCAGGCCACTGTGCAGAACCTGTATCTGTCATTCCCAAGACACACTTGTGGTATAAAACCAGGTGTTTCAGTTTTATTGTCCAAACCCTGTATGTGGAAGTAGTCAGATCAATGGCATACTGACATAAGTGCTGGTGCTCATGTAGACCCACACGAAGGTGGTGTGGAGGACCCCTGATGGGGAGAAGAAGGTGCCAGTGTGGTGGATTGTGGTGGCCATCATCGCTGGTCTCCTTCTCCTCGCTCTGCTGAACTTCATCCTCTGGAAGGTACTCCAGTCTATTGTATGTCTCATGCAGCAGGTCTGCACTTTATTCCTATTTAGTATCTTTTTATCATTAAATTCAGCTTCATTGGGCTGTAATTCAAAAAGTGTTATTTAAATGTATGAGCCTTTACAACAGACATTGCATCTCCAATATACCAGACTGCACTGATCGATAGCTCAAATAACACATATTATTTTATTATGTTACTGTTTGCCTGCTTTCCTGTCTATTTTGGCTGTTTTTTTTTTTAATTTCATATGTGTGCAGGTCAGTCACAGTTATAGTATGCTGTATAGTAGCCGGTGATGTGTAAATAAGGGAGAAAAGTGAACAGACAAACCTGAGATATCATTATATCCCGGTATGTATATACAGGTGTATTCAAACCTGCCCGTTCCCCTTATTTTCATGAAATGCTTGCCTTTCAGATCGGCTTCTTCAAGCGCATCAGGCCTCCAAGCGATAACGACGACGTGAATGAACTCGACGCCGAGCAGAGAGAATATTTAGTTGAACAACAGAGAACTTCAACTGACATCTGAGCCGCCTCAGGTGTAGACAGTGAACGTGGTATTTTAGGATGTGTCAGCCAATGAGTGTGTGTTGTTTAATTGTGATGTCATCATTGGTACCCCAGATTCTCCTAATATTGTTGCAGGTTGTTAGCCTGCAATTCTGCAATTTTCCTCAAGGTGTCCCCATAGGCATGCTGGCTTCGGCAATGATTTTACAATAAGCACAGATATTGTAGTTTGTGCAAAACAATTATAGTCTCCTCCATTAATTAACCCATAAGACCAACTCATGTTAATAGACAAGGGTGTGTGTGTGTGTGTGTATACAGGTTTTATATATATATATATATATATATATATATATATATATAAAAAAAGCATAAATAAAAATTGTTTCAAGCAGAGGCACTCCTACTTCCATCAGGTACTGTTTGCCCTACAAGGCAGACACAATGAACATGTCAGGACCCATTCCCACAACAACAGCAGACTAATAGGCGTGGTACATTTAATTAATTTTTATTTGGAACCTGTTTAAAAGATCAAAGCGCAGGACATTTAGAGAAAGAAATGGCCATAGCTGAAGTTTAAAGGGAAAGAAAACAGTGAATGGCAGGACAATCAAATTTATTGTTCAGCTGAAGCGGTGATGAATGCATATCTTTCTCCTGAGAAAATGTGGAAAATGTTGGAAGTGTAATCAGATCTAATATTACGTGAAGCACAGTACAAAGTGTTTCCTTGAAGTTTCTAATTTAGATTAAGCTGGTCAAAACATCAAATAGCATGCAAGGATGCAAAACGTTCTGGACATATTTGTTTTGCAAGAATGGATTAGATGTTGTGTCTGTACTCTGTTAGTTGTTCTTCCTTCCACAGCCTAGTTTTTATTTATGTCTTGCAGAACATTCATTGTTTATTTAGGTGATATTTTGCTTGCAGTAGTTTAATATATAGAAAACTACGATCTTTTTTTATGAACATATATGATTTCAAAGTTCTCCTCATACAAGACACATATACATTAAATTTGTATGGGTTTAGATGATCAATTGAGTATTGGTGGTAAGAGTAACAATTACATCTATATTACTGAACAGAATATTAATGATAATAGATTCCTTATTTAACGAGTTTAGCTAATTAAAATCTCCAGCCCCGACTTTGGCGATGAAGGACAGAAAAAATAAAAAGCAGGAAAGAAAAAACTGGAAAGAACACCAGGTCTCAATTGTGGTGTGTTACGTTACATCCAGAAATGTATCGCTTTATTGCTAAAATGAACAAATGAAACTTGAAACATGTTAGATATTGTTTATTGTCTGTATTCAGGGAACTCAATCAGTGGTAACATTGAACATTTACTTAGCTAAATATTTATTGAGCCATTTCAAAACAAACAACTCACTTTCAAAAAAATACAACTCCTTAAATTAAATTAATAAAACACATAGATTTCTTGTTTTTCACTTCCCTTGATGTGTCACATTAATGGTCCATTCTAGTTTACAGTTTTCAAAACTTTATGTGAATTATTAGATACAATGTGTCATCATATACACTGAATTCTAGGCCATTTTGAAATCATCATTTGTGCACTGAAGGGATATCCTACTAACTATGGCACTGACGTTACCTAAATAGCCATTGTGGTACTTATTGTAAAGGAGGCAATGTGACAATTGAACATGTTCATTTCCTTTCCAGTTTTTCTCCAGTTTACTTCAGATTCATTGTAATGTAGACTAGATACCCACGTTGTTACTTTGAATAAAGTGAAATGATGTTAAATGTGTAGCAATTAATATAATATAATGAAAAGTTTTATATACAATGCAGTTGCCAAATGTATATTGGCTATACCGTAAGATACGGGGCTATATAAATGCACATGGCATGGTTGTGTTCAGTCCATCCGTCTATCCATTTTCTAAACACTTATTGCAGGTCAGGGTTGCAGGTGGGACCTAACGTGTGTCTTGTATATGGATGAAAAAGCGAGTACATGTACATCCGTGTGTATACCGTGAAATGCCTTTATTCTACCAATGCTGCGATCAAGTAAATTTAATCCCACTGCGTATTAAAAGTGAAGGATTTCGTCATCGTTAACATTTTAACTGGTGAAGGGCCGGCTTTGCGACTCACCGGGTATCCAGGAGGGGGCGTACGCGGACGCAGTTCCCCCACTATCCCCTCCCACGTAGGACAATGGGAGTGCGAGCGCGATTGCAGGGGAGTGGGCATGCGAGACAGCGATCTGCGAGCTTTCAGTACCGAGCCCAGAAACAACATGGACGTATGGCCGCTTGCTCGACGATGCTGATGTCGCCGTGAGAATGTCAGCTCTGCCCATGTCGCGTTTTCTTTTACTTTTCCTCCTCCTGAACAACCTCTGGAAAAAAACACTCGCTAAATCCATCCCGGATCTGGGAGCGATTGGTAAGTCTGGCGTTGAGATCGAGCATTAAAAATGATTTTAAAAGACATTGAGATGAATTTTGCGGATGAGGAAATTGATGCTTTTAGAGAAGAAATGCCTTACTTTTTCCCTGCAATGTGCATTAATATTGGCAAGTGGATGGCGTGGTTTCTCGATTATGTAATCGCCGTATTTTATATTGCATTAGATAGTGTCCGTAAGATTGATAACCGTGTACTTAAAAATTTAAATTACACTCTGGAAACAAAGATTTTAATTTGAACTTCTGGGCTGTGGCGTGTTAAATGTTAATATTCGTATGACTGATGTTTAAATGCAAACATCAGAACATAAACAAAATACGTTACAAAGTCAATCAAAAGGGGCGCTTATTGTTATGTCCTTTTAGAGATAATGAGCAAATTTTCTACGCTCGAAATTAATAAAATTTTGCGATTCACTGTGATAATCCTGAACCTTTTATAATGTAATATCCCTGTGCCGACAGATGCATCAATGCACCCAAATATTCCATTATCAGCTTGCTGTTTAAATGTTGGTTGTTTTACCTTGCGTTTTATTTAGCATGAAGATGTTTGTGTGATATGAAAGCGTACCATATTATCTTGGCTTGCCCGGTGGTCTTATTGATTTCACACCTCGTTTTGTTAATTGGAGGGACAAAGAACGGCATTTATTCCATCTTACCTAATTAGACTTTTTTTATATTTGCATATTCCTTAATGTAGTAGATTATTAGAGTAGCTGGTGTATCTCGGGGCTATCGAACCAAACGAGGGCTTAAAGACATTAAGATTAAGTAATTCAGAGTAAGTAAAATATAAATGCGATCTGATTTCACGGTTTGGAGATTTATGGGGTCACAATGTGGCGCCCTAGGCGAGCATCACCCCCCCCCCCATCCATCCAAAACTGAGTGGCATAGCTTCGGGTTGAGCACTGGGGGGTTGAAGTCTCCACCCATTTAAGGGGGTCCAGGGGGTTGTTTTGGCTGTTGTGGGGCTTCCTCTGGGTTGGTACTCCGGTTTCTCACTGGACCCCCCCCCCCCATAATTCACACCCGTGCCTATAGAATTAACCGGGCCTGTCTTATAGTTGCGGTTTAGATCAAAGTTTCTTTCCTTTTGGTGTCCGAGAGTAAATACCAAATCTGACTGAGTTGCTGGTGGTGATGGTGTCCAATTAATTTCCATTATAAGGTCCATCCATTGATCCAACCATCTTCAAACTGCCTTTCCTTGTCATGCTCACAGCTGGAGCATGTATATGGAAGTTCATGCTCTTGGCTGCTCTGGTGTCCTCATTGCATAGAATAATGTTGACTCTGCCATGGCTCCTTGTGTGTGGTATTCCTCTGGGTACTCCAGTTTCTGGATCCTCTGGGTACTCCAGTTTCTGGATCCTCTGGGTACTCCAGTTTCCCTGACTTGTGCCCATAGGCTCTGGATCCCCCCCCCCCCCATAGGACAAGCAGTTACCAAAAATAAATGGCTGTTGTTGCTTTTTAAGGGCTTTATAGTAAAACTATGTGATAAAATATTAATCCTATTATAATCATAAAATCACCCTAACTTTATAAGGACTCAAAGGCTTCCTGGCTGGATTCCCATAAAGTTTGAGAGGGCTTTGTGTTTATAGGCTTGATCGTGGGTTTAGGTTTAGGTTTAGGTTTAGCCTACCATGCAGACCTACCATCTACTGGACTAGCGTGATCCCAGCGCTGCCTTCCTCCAGCTGTTTATGTTGTGTTTCAGCCTTCAGCCTCCCAGGTAGACCGTTCATCTTGCCTTCCCTGAGAACTGCTGCAAATCCAACACGCCCCATTCCAAAGGATCAGTGTCAAGCTTAGGCGGCCTACAATTACCACGGTCACGTAACCATATAGCCCTGTTGTGCGTAGGCTGACTGATACTGCTGGTTTGCATCTCTTATTAAAGTTAAACAATCTTTATTTAACAGTGTATACTACAACAAACAAAATGGCTGAACAATAAAATTAAAGGAATCCCCTTTTGCATGCTTGGTGTCCAGATGGCTATTAGCTCAGTCCAACTCCTCATGCAAAGAGCTTCAGTTTGACAAGTTTCAGGCTGAATGTAAGTTTACCTGCAGTTACTTTAACAATGTGTTTTTTATTCCCCTGTATCCTTTGCTGATGGGGGAAGCACTGATTGGATTAGAAGAAGGTTCACAGATAAAATGGCATCTAATCAGAATTCGGCTCTCAGTTTCTTGCAAGGGACTCTTGGCGTAAAGGACCAAGCCTCCTAAACAAAAAGTGAGAAACTAAGCTCAGGCCCAGTCACACAGCTGCCAGCTGAAAGGCTTGCTGTGTGTGCAGGAAAATGCTCGCTAACCCCTAGCATCTACAGAAGCGTACCTGCATGTGTTTAGAAATCAACAGATTTAAACAATGAAGCTTCAATCTCTGCATTGTGGTGCACTCAGCACAATTACCTTATAATGAAGAGGACGTGTCTTTAATATAAATGCAGGCAGAACTTCTGTCTTTCACAAACAGCAGGCAGAGAGCTTATTTTTACCATATAGGGGGAATTTAATTGGTTTTGGTGTTTTTTTTTGTTTTTTTTTTAGGATCAGAGCAGACTGGCTTGTTGGATTGTTGTGAACTTGTTGTATTGTTGTAGGGCCTTTTTATATCTAGATTGAGTCGTCTGTCGTTCTGCACGGTGAACAAGTGACTGATCTAACCAAGCTGTCACCATCTGGAACAGAGAATTCTGGGAAATACTGAGAGAGAGAGAAGACTTCTGTGGAAGTTAGAAGCAAGAGGATGATGAGTCATGTTTGCTTTGAAGTTTTCGCCGTACAGAAACTTTGAAAGAACATGTGAAATCAAGTTCTGCCACCTATATTAAAGTGCCTAATATGATATTTTTTAGGGGGGGGGGGCAGTTGCAGTTTTTGGTCATTACTTATTAAGGTTCAATGTATTCTTAGGCTAAATGTAGTTTGCTTTTCTACTGGATATAGGAGAGATAACAATGGATATTTTTGCAACCTTGGCTGAAAGGATTCCACTTCCCCGCGACTTCCTTCAGGAAAGGAAATGTGTGCGTATTAATTGTGTGGCTTGCGAGTGTCACATTTCAGTGTGTTGTTTTCAAACCCGTCTTACTCACTCTTTAACCTTTTAAAAGAAGAGAACTATCAGAGAACTACCTTGAGCTGGGAGGGAGCAAAAATGTGAATGGCTAAGGGTTCCGGGGGGGCAGTGGGAAACATTGCTTTAAACAAACAAACAAACCGATCATTTCTTTGATCTGAGCGTCGTGTGACTGTAACACAAGCTATCTTTTATAATTAGCACCTTTCACCATGTATAAATAGGGGAAACGGGTGGCATAGTTTACCTTATAAGATTCACGAGTTGACTTTTTGATGGACTGCTACCGGACCTTGTGTTCGGAAAGGTTCAGAATCCCTGCCCTAGTTCAGACTGCCTTATGCCCCTCTAGAAATATTTTTATCGGATTACAGATCACTGTATTTTCCAAGGAAATAGGGGCCAGGTCTTCATGCAGGAGTAATAAAACGGAATCGAAAGAATGCAGAGTCCTGTGATTTTTTCCGATAACAACATATACCCAACTCCAGTCATGCACAGCTCTGCGGAGATCTAGGTCTCTGTCTACATTTCGAACAGATATCTGTGTTAGTGTGGAATTACCATTCGGTGACAGTGCAATTTGGAACAGTCCTCGTCCTATAGTAATTAAATTCCGAGACGTTAACCGAAAATTCACTATTCTGTAATTAATCCCCAAGCACTTGCCTCGCGTTAATTATAATTTGCTGCTATCATTTTCTATATATGATGTCACTTTAAACATTTGGGAGGTGAATCACTTGTCAAGATGTTGAACTCTGGACACCAGAAGAGGATTATCTTCTTAAAAGACCAGTGGGATTTATTATCGCTGATGTTAATCAAAATGAGAAATTACTCAAAGGTTGACAGCTATTTAGGTATGTAACCACTTAACTCATTCCTGGCTTATTTTTGACAAGAAGTAGAATCCGGTTGGTCAGTTGTCACTGGTCGCTTGCAGGATAGGAGAGCCCTACATCCAAGAGGCAGAAGATTGACTTCCTAATGTACCAGAAGAAACCCTCCTCTTTGGGGTGATTTATCTCCTTGTTCTTATGGGACAGTGGGCTTCCACCTCCAAGATCAATTGGAGGGGAACATCAACTTTTCGATGGTACGAGGCTAAAGAAACCGATTTGGCAAGTGCCGTCAGACAAACTGGGACCAGTGACACTGATTCCAGCTGGCAGAACCTGTCACTTCCATTTGTCTTTCTCCTTTCGACACGACACATGTATCCCACAAAGCATTATGGGATACGTTTGGTAATCAGTGTCCCATCGCGGGCACTTTGCTCTTCCCTAACCTCAGTGTTTCAGAAAATCTGTGTCACCGAGTCAAATTACAGCAGTAGGTGGCCAATGAACCTCAGGTAAAATTCTGTGCAGCCCACAGGAAGGCTTTGTGCATCTCAGGACAGCTGCAGAGGACTGTCTTTAAGATAATCAGATAATTAAATTTAATCATATAAATAAGTGTAACTGTCTGGATTTCATGCAATATTAATGTTTCGAATAAAGTGAAGGAGTTTGTATCATTCTATAAACAGTATTTTTTTACACACTAGTCTATCTTTTGTTACTGAATTTGGGGTAGGGACTGAACTTAAGAAAATTAAAATTGAGAGAATCTCTTTTCTTGATTGTCCAGAACTCCTCGTGCTGGACCGACAGCGGGGAGAGTCTGGAATTTGATGGCTAACGGATTCTCCGCCTCGCGCTCTGCTGTGCTTGGCCGCAGGTGTTTTGGCGGGGGCTTGCCTGGCAGACGGGCCATGCCCCCCCCCCCCCCCCGTCTGGTCAGCAGGGATTCTCATAGACAGCTTCAGCCACCCGTGTGGTCTGACACGTAGGAACATGTATCTTCATGTAGAAACGCTGTCCTCAAATATCCCCCCCCACTGGCGGACAGGATGAGAATGCTGTCGTGTTGACAGGGGGCCTCATCTTAATGACAGTGTCGAAATCCAGTGCCAGCCTTTGATTTTTCTAGGCATTAAAGCAAAAGACATTAAGTGAAGAACGTTGCATCTGTGGCACTTCTCCGCTTCCTCAGCATGTCCACCAGACACAGCTGGGCTTCCTGAGCAGGGGTTATCTAGCACTTCCTGGCCTTTATAGTTATAGCAAACACAGAAGTCAGGGACGGTGTGTGGCTCAGCAGGCTGGGGAAGCTGTGCCCAGTAGGTCATCGGTTCAAATCCCAGGCTCAGCAGAATGACAGGGACCGTCTGACTCCTGCTTCCGCATTTTACATAAAGAAAATGTAAATAGGTAGGATACAGCGTGGAAATATATAAAAAGGGAATCATGGGGCTTTGAGTGAGCGCTGCTGAATTCACGTTAATTCCACCTTCGGTGGTTGATTCTGCGTTTCCATTATCCTGTAGGAAGCATCCTGTTCTGCTACACCGAGCAATTTCTGTGACCCGTCCGTACCCCCCCTCAAAGCCCCACCCCATATGATTCAAAAGGATTCGTTCTTGCCGTCTCTCCCCTGTCTCTCACTTTCTCCCCGTTTTTACTCCTCCAGTGTCTAACTGCGGAGATGGTCTTTGGTTTGCAGACGCTGTTTGCTGCTCTTCCAGCTGTCCCCTAAGCCTCGGGGTAGAGCTTAGCAAAGTCACGTCCGGATGACTTGAATCTGACATTGCAGTTGACGAGTTTTATAAAAGCATGGAGTATAGTTTAACATGAGCCTGACCCTTCTGTTGCCTCATCTGTACCAATCATGAAACAGCAGTCAATGCCATCTGTTAACTGTTTTCATGTTTGCTCATTTAATGAGTATTTCTACCCATTTGTTTTGAGGAATTCCCCCAAAAATCTAGCACGTTGAATCATCGTACAAATAAAAAACAAACGCTTCCAACATCAAAACCCTGATTGCCACAGATGATTTTCTTTCTTCTCTTGTGCAAGGCGTTTTAACTTGAATCAGGACCTTATTGAATGCCATGCAATAAACATATTTTGTCAGCGTATTTTAATGTTTTATTCTGCATTTAATACCTTCATTTGCCAGCAGGGAAATTAATAAAGATGATTTTTCACTTACCAAAAATCTTTCAGATGTACCGAACACAGATTTAATAAAAGAAAACACGGCAATAAAACAAAGACCTAAAAAGAGTGAGCACTTATTAACTTCTGGTATGCTTTTTCCAGAATCTGGGAGGTGTGATGAGGTAAACTTGCGCAATGAATGTGTTATTAATAATCCGTTTTAAGTGGTGCGGGACGCTGGAATGGGTGAGTCTTCACGCAAGTGGATTGGAATTTTAAGTTACATAGAGTTCATCCCCCCATCCATGGAAACGATACAAATAATCTAATTAGAATAATGAACGCGTTTCTGGAAGGACCGTGTGAATAATTTGATTAATTTAAGCGGACTGTTCCTCTCACCTTTACCCTGTTTCCTCACGGCCAGCTCTGGCTTTATAAGAGACGTGTGGCTTGTAATAGCAGGAGTAAGTCTTGTTGCATCACTTGTTGCACTTACTGAAAGTCATCTTTAAATCATTTTATTTAATTTTGATGCTGTGTACAAAGAACATACAGTCTGTGCATATATATAAGGGCATGAAACATCCATAGCCGACAAGGCTTGAGGGTGAGGTAGGCGATGGGATATTCCTCTACGGACGGGGATGCACGTAACACTCGCCGGAGCGATAAGCGCGGCGATTTCTTGCTGTAACAGCGCAAATGCGTACTTAATGTATTTAGATTTGTCCTGCTAGGACAAGAAGTTACCGTGCATTTGAATATTCATACCGCGAATGAAGTACGAATTAGCCGTATGATGGTTAAAATGCACGATCATTTCTTGTCATATTACCGCAAATGCACATAAAATAAGTTCGGACCTGCGCTTTTACGACAAGAAATTGCCGCACAATGCGTAATTGCGTACCAGTTATGTGCAATCCCATCTATAAATAAGACTAACAAATAGATGCTAACAGATAAATAATGGGTTTGTCGCAGTAATGTGCGAGTGTCAGTACTGTGAAATCAATGATTCATGACTTATCAAAAAAAAAAAAAAATGGAGCGGATACAATCTTAAGAAAGCTATATCCTGACTTATGAACCAGGTCATCACCGTGGAAACCAGAGAACATGTGCTCAGTGCTGGCCAATCCCAAGGCTTGTTTTCCAGGCATTTTGGCAGGACTTTCAGTATCAATAGTACTCAGTGGCTGATGTCCCAAATAGACTTTATAGGGCAGGAAAGTGCTAATCTGTTAAGTTTTTTTTTTTTTTGCATTTCACTGTTGAATAAGCAGAACCAAGCATACATATGAAGGAAAAGGAAATCCATGTTTGGTAACTTGACGTGATAATCAGGAGATATGTTTTTAATGATTTATCCATCCATCCATCCATTTTCCAATCAATTATCCATTAAATAGTTGCCAACAGTGTCAACTTCAAGATGTAACCGGAAACTTTGTGTTTATAGAAATGCAGTGTATATTTTGAGTCTAAAGTTATGTCCCCCCCACCCCCCACCCCCCCCCTTTTCTATTCACAGAGGTGCTGATCAAAGTTCAGGTTTTTGACAACAGTGACCTTTCACCTCTGGCGGGTGCTGCTGTCGAGATTTACGGGAACCAGTCCACGCTGGCATCTAGCAAGGCTGGCAGCGATGGTGTCGTCATGGCTACCTTCGTATACCGTCCGGGAACGCGGGTGATCGTCACCGCAGCTAAACAGGGCTACGTCACCAACTCGGCCCCCTGGCATGCTAACCGTGTCCCCTGTAAGTCACTTTCTCACTTTATCTCAGTAATGCTTCATTTTTTGGTCTCTCTCTCCTCTCTCTCTCTCTCTCTCTCCTCTCTCTCTCTCTCTCTCTCTCCCCAATCACAAAATCCATAAATAATTACCATTAAACACCAGTTTTGTAGGTTTGATTTTCATTAAGCTCCAGGTTTAGGGTTTGTGTGGCAGCCAACGCTTCTGCGGGTAGGAAACAGCTGTGATTTGTCTCATCTGTTGCCAGCACCTTTTTAACTATGAACGTGCTTTCAGCTTCTACGCCCAGTGATGTTTTTGGCCGACAGTCACCACCTTCTCGCGTATTTACCAAGCCAGCAGATCTACTTACTGCTGCGTTTACACTTTCAAAAGGCCCAAGTGCCTACGTTCATTATCTCCTGAGCACGAACGTCCTTCTGGAATTTCTGCTCTACTTCGAAGCATATTATTCAATAACCCAAACCAGGATTACTGCCCAAGTCTTCATTACGCACCACAGAGTGACTCAGCCCACCTGATGAGTGTTTCAGATGATCTTGGATGTGCTTCTCTTTGAAAGGACTTGCGGGACCGATCCTTAAAAACAGATCAGCAATGATCGCTAATAAAATTTCTGGTTATGCGGCTCTAAAGAGGATTTCTTTTTCAAAGTTCCTGATTCTATGTAAAATATCACGTACGCTGCGTGTAAAGGACGTCAACATGACATGGTCTGTTAATCCCAAGCTGGTTGGTGAGTTGCTCTGCCGAACTGGATCGGTCTCACCAGCAAGCACTGCAGCCACATCACCAGCAAGCACTGCAGCCACATCACCAGCAAGCACTGCAGCCACATCACCAGCATATCTCATTCTTATAATGGCCTGCCATTCATGGGGGGGGGGGGCTTCACTAGAGTGGTCCCTCTTTAGTGCTCTTTGAAAAGGTCTTTGAAAATTCCTCTGCTGGATTTCATCCCATCACAACGTTGCAGTGATAGCTGACAGACCTATTGCAAAATCAACTTCTAACCAATCTGAGCACCTTTTTCATTACATTTCTGTTACATTTCCTATGTAAAATATGAGTAATATTCCTTCCCGCTTCCCCAAGAAACTGCTCAAGTGATTCACTCATGCATGAGTGTTTGTTGGACACGTGTTTCTCGTCAACAAATACCGATTTGTCGAGGCTTTGGGTTCACTGTTCTGTAGATGTTTCGGGGCTTGTTTCTTTGTGCCTGGCGACAGTCATACAAAGGGCCTTTGCGTGTGGTCAGGGCTTGGCTGAAGCAGGGCTGCCGCTCCGTAGGAGACCTGAACGCAAGCCTGCCCAGCAGATGGTGAGATGGAAGGCCCAGGGTTGGCGCCATGAAGGTGCATGCGGGGTGCATTTCCTGTGAGAATCATGAAGGAAACCAGATCAACATACCTTTGGAATCAAAGGGACTAGAAGGAGCACGAGGAGGATTCTCGCTGAAGGTGTTCAGCCAATGACTTTTAGACGCACTTCTTAGCCAATATCTGCAAACTCCCAACAAATTATGTTCAGCCTCTCTCCAGGTTACGATGAGGTTACGTTCCGATAAACCTATCGTAAGTCGAAAATATCCTAAGCTGAAAATGCATTTTTATACAGTACACCTAACCTAACAAACATCATAGCCTAGCTTAGCATGCCTTAAATATCCTTAGAATTAGCCTACAGTTGGGCAAAATCATTAACACAAAGCCTATTTCATAATAAAGTGCTGAACATCCCAAGTAATTTATTGAATAGTGTAGCCTACTGAAAATGAAAAAACAGATTGGAATTGGAATACCCATCGTAAAGTGAAAATATCGTAACACAGACCATCGTAACCCGGAGAGCGTCTGTATTGTAATTTGTGATGCTACAATTGGTTGCTCTGTAAGCAGCTACACTTGTGAATTTTTTAGATGGGTGTTTAATGTATACAGAAACCCTCAGTGACATATGATGCGGGTTGTGTTACACGTAATTACTCCTGAAGTACGAGTATATTTATAACTCGAAATTGCAGTCTTGCCAATCGCTGTAGTAGAATTTTAATTTTACAATTTTTTTTTCCTTATTCTTCTCTCCGTGCTTGTCGGCTTCGCAGCTCCATTCAGAGGCACCATTGCCAGTCGAGGGAAAAGCTCTTAAACGTTAAGCTTTTGAGGAGCAATCCTCCTCGATTCGTTATCTGCCAGCTGACATTTGACATACTGCCCCCTTTTTCTGCGTGAGGTACGTCTGCTCTACGTGAACAGGGGGGGGGGAACCCCAAGAGCCTCGCAAGCACAGAAACAAAGACAGACTTGGCAGGCGCAGCCTAGAGAGCGGGTCATATTCAAGACCCCCCCCCCTCACCCTATTGGTGTCGAAACAAATCTGGGTTCCACTTTAGCCTATAACCATTCTGAAAGCGGCTCTCCCTTTAATTTGGGCTGCCAGATCCTGGCAACGAGAGATTTAAGGTTTCCCTCACTACTGTGCTTGTGGTTTGTCTGGACAAGGACGTGTTTATACCTGTCGGGTATCGGTGGGGGTGAGGAAATGCTACAGCCCTCCCTCAGTCTCACGCATGAGTTGGCTGGAATTGGATTTGTGACTAAATACTTCAGTAAATACCCAGCTGTATCATTACAAACAGCGCTCGCAGAAAGTCTTGGGACTCTGTCTTAATTCTGCAAAATAGCAAATTTATTGGTTTTCTAACATAAGTCCATTGACAAGCAATGTTTAATATATCTGCACGTCTTCCACACAGACATTTTCTTTTTATGAAGCGTCATAATTTTTTTTTTGACTGACTCATTCAGTCTCGATGGGCCGAATGGCCTCCTCTCGTTTGTATAGTTCTTATGTTCTTATGTTCTAATTCTGTTCTTGCTGTTTTGATATTATTTGCAATTGTAGTCACCGGCTCCCAGAGGGATATTAAACAGAAATGTTTGGTGCTTTATCTTATTGCAAAGGTGTTACTAATTAAAAAAGCGCTCAATGAGACTGTTTGCCAAAGAACTTAAGTCATAACAGCTCTTTTAGAACGATAATTTGGGTTTAAATATATTACTAGTTGAATGTTTTACTTCAAACGGATTGTTTCTAATGTGATGTGTGTGTGTGTGTGTGGTTAACAAATGAATACAGTATGAAAAATGAGCGTCCCAAGACTTTACGTCTTGGAAGGCATAAAGTTGATAAGTAGGTAGTTCATCATGACATTCCTGTTTCTTTCAGTATATGCCTCCGTCAGCCTCTACCTGCTGCCTCAGAGGCCGGCCACGCTCATCCTCTACGACGACGTGGTCCAGATGCTGCTGGGATCACCAGGTGAGAGCATCTTCCTGGATTGAGGCGAGGAGCATCCTGTCCAGTAGATTTAATGGATACTCAGAAGCAGCTGGCAGGAAGCGGGCCGGTACTATGGGTATTCAGCAGTGTTTCCCTCGTTAAGGGCCCCCATTAAATGCTGATCCTGCGACTGTCGCCAGCCGGAAACCAAAGTAGAGAATTTGCTGGAAAACGCGAAAGCTGTGATCGTTTTTTTTTTTTTTTTTTGTTATAGACCATTTACGAGATTTTGTCGCATGAGCTTCAATGACGATAAATATCTTGAGTCTCCAGCTGGTTATTTTAGCGTAATTAAATTAACTGTCTGAATGTTTCTGTACCCTACAATGTCATGTGCTTCTGTGGCTAAAAAGCAGGAAGGATAGGATTCGGATCAACGCTTGAGCTATGGAGTGTGTGAGCTCTTTGGGAATTTTAGTTAAACAAGTAGATATTTAAAGTAAAACAAATATAAATTTACATTAAGTAATTCTCTTGGGAAGTCGGAATACATGTCAGATACTGTGTTGGGATCTTTAATATAACTGCACTTTAATATAACGGCACAGCTCGAGATGTTTTTGTACGTTTCTGAAGATAATTTAAATCCTCTGACAGTTGAGGTAGCAGATTGTACTAGGAGGGTTGAGAATGCATGTGCATATTATAACAAAATCAATAAGAGCCACGTAACAGTAGCGGCTAGAGTCATCCATCTGCATGCAAAATGTAAATATCGGCATCTTATCTGCATTGGGGGGGTCGAACCAAGTGCATAAAATCCTGTGATGGAGAGCAATGTCAGAATCCAGGATTACTGATCGCAAAGGGTAATTGAAGCTCGGTGTGAATTTCCTAATGAGGTAGTGAAGTCTTTCTCTCGCTAACGCTTAGTTATTCAGTGTTTATTTAATTTCAGTGTCCTTGAAGGCACATGTTCCGCTCTTTTTTTTCCTTGTACGAATTTGGTTCAGGTCGTTATAAATTGCAAGGTTACATGTGAAATTCAAATTAAGATAGCTAAGTGTTTCTTTTTTTTCAGCAAGCAGTTGTCCGTATGATACTTAATTTGCAACTGCACTTGGTGTGTTGGGGGGTGTTTCTAGGGAGACAGTGGCACAATGCTGAGGGTGGGGGCTTTGATTCGGGGGGGGCATCTGTCAGGAGACAGCCCGTCACATCCGCCATCCACGTGCTCTTACTGCAGATTTGACAGGCCGTGACGAATAAAGGCTTACGACTCATAATGTGACACAGCATCATACTCGGTAGATGTTTCGAGGGTGTTCAAAAGGAAATGTGCCGTAATTGTCACAGACAAACAGCTCACAGAAAGCTTGAACTGCTCTAAGCACTATTACATCCAACTCGAATGCTAATATATTGTTCATGGATTTCCTTGGCCCACTTTAGGATGCCGTGGAAGGACTTCACTTTCATATGTTAATGAAGCAGAATGCCAGGAACTCAAGGCCCGCGCCATTACAACTAATATTAGCGTCAACAGCTGTAGACGTTATTATCCTAGTTAGTGGACATTTAATTTCATTAGTGCCTTAAATGGGAGAGTTCTAGGACTGTGAGAGACTTCCATCTTAACATACATGACGCAAGTGTTGGACTATTAGTCGGTTATTTAAAGATCAAATATCTGAAGCAGACGGATGATTACAAACATCTCACCACAGGAGGATTGATTTCAGGGAGGTGGATAAGGATGGACAACCCAGTCACAAAATGAATGAATGAAAGGAAGAGGTGACGTGTCGAAAGGGTTGGTGTGTGTGTGGGGGGGTGTTCTTTTGATGGAAAAATGTGTCGAACGTTAGGGAGAGGAGGAAAAAAATACAGATTAAACAACAAATTTTTGGGTCTTAGTGCATCATTCGTGGATGTCGGGGAGCTGCAGTCAGTGTACAGGAGACTCCAGGAAGTTGACTGTGATTATATCGCCGCTATTGTGATGTCATTTCCTTTCCCTGTTTACACGACAGGGTAAGTTAGTTGCCGTGACTCCGTCTGTATCACCTGAAGAATTTTGCTGAAGAGAATTGGCTTACTGGGGCTCGATGTGCAGGAAGAGGCCGAATTACCCACGGGTCACGTTTCAAAAAAGGCATTTAATTTGCCTTGTGTATGTAGGATTGGCACGTTTCTCAAAATAAGCGTATGACTGGTAGCGGTTAGGTTTCAGGTGTGTGTGTGTGATTTGTGATAACGTTCCGTCTTTCTGCCAGCACTTTATCGCCAGTTTTGCTCGTATTTGCCTAGAAGGCTGCAGGTCTGCAACAGAAACCAATACAGCCACCGATATCGCTAACCCAAAACCGAGAGGGGGGAAGTCGGCCAGCCGAAAAATGGATCAGTAGGCATGTTTAATGCATGTGAGAGGGCAATAAAAACTCCTGGAGAGTAAACTTAAAAGCATTGTTTCGGTCACTGCATTTTTTTATTCTGGTACTAACAATAATGAAAACACTGTGTTTCTGTGAATATTATATGTTACCACTGGGATGGAGAGCTAATCCTGCCAGCAGGGTGTGTTTAAGATTAAGGGTAGACCCACTTTCGGGAAGCACCAATCCCCCCCTTGTTCGTGCTTAATGCTCTGGGCTGGATCTCCTTTAGGGTGAACAGTGCACAGGCCCATCGTCAGATCTGAGCCTCTGACCTTGCACTGCATGCTTTGTACCCTTCCCGGGGAGCACAATGGGAAGAGGCGCCGTAGACGTGAACGTGGCAGGTCTTTGTGGTTTTTACGGCACTGCCAGTGGCCCACTGTCAAAGGCCTGGTCCTCTTCACACTGGGCTGACACTGACTGTGCTGTTCCACTGTGAGAGTTCTAGAACCATGTGGAAATGTTTTCTGAAATTCTACCATAGAAATAATTAATATATATGAATATAGAGCAGGGTTTCCCAATCCAGTCCTCGGGAACCCACAGATGATCCAGGTTTTTGCTCCCTCCAAGCTCCCTGCCAGACAGTCCACATTTTTGCTCCCTACCAGGAGCTCGGAGGGAGCAAAAATGTGGACTGTCTGTGGGTCCCCGAGGCCTGGATTGGGAAACACTGCTACAGAGAGGGTAAACGGTCATCAATGGTGGGAAGACCAGTAACCATTTATCTCCCCTCATGGCAACATATGATGGGACACATGCAGTAAGTTGATGCCCAGTAATGTAAACTGCCTGCCCCGTTACTCTGATCTGTGACCTACTCTGGTCCAGTGGGAAGGAAAAGCATCCAATGTCTTGATGCATCTGTCAGGGAAACACTTGGAAGATACAGAGCTGACAGAAAGTCTTGGGAAGTTCCTGTAAAATGACGTTCTGTAAAAATGTCACAAAGTCATTGATTGCAGCTCTGTTTCTGCCATTGAACTTTTTAACTCAGACCAGCTCCTTTAGAACTATAATGTATGTTTCAATTCATCAGTTTTACTTAAAACTACCAGATGTGTCTAATGTGATATTTATTTTTTGTAAACAAATGAATAACATAATGATTTAGTTGTAAAACCAATGAATTTGCAGTATCTTTCCTGTATAAAGCAAGTGTCCCAAGACTTTCTGTGTAAGATCCCTCTTTTAAAACTGAGCCTGTTGCTTGATTTTAAGGGTAATAAATGGATGAAGCCTTTGATATGTGTGACTTTCCTCTGAGGTAGTTTGCCTTTAAAGGTTGCAGTTCTCCACAGCAGCCTTCGGGGGCGGCTCTAAGAAACTGGAAGAATCTCTTGACCTCACTTCCAGTCTTCTGCCTCCCAGGCATCTGGACTGTTCTGCTTTTCCCCTCCCCCTGGCACCGGGCCCCCGGCGCTGGCGAGTGGCAGGCCCTCTTTTGGAAGAGACCCCTCTTGAGGTCCCTGGCCATCTGAAGGAGCGATTCAATGGCTCATAGTTCTGAGACTCCAACTTTGGATTCGACGAGGGCCTGGGAACAGGTCGTAGATGAATGAGGGACAGGAAGTAACTATGGGAAATACCGCAGGAAATCACGGCCTCATTCTGCAGGGTAACCGTATACAAAACAGAGAGGCGCGGTACCTGCCGCTGTGAGATTGCAAGGCTACAATATTTCTGCTTCCCTTTGCACATTTTGGTGGGGGGGGGGGGGGGGAACAGCCTAGGAAGAGATTTACTGACTTGTTCAGGTTTTATAGATGAACACGCGGAACAGGGATGTGTCCGTTCAGAGGAGCGTCACTGAGCGATCGAGAGGCCGTATATAAAATAGCCGCAGAGCACAGAGATATGCGGCTCGCACAGCTGATGGACCGGTCCCAGTGTGCAGCTGTGGCTGGTTAAGACCCCAGGAATGTACACACTCCCTTTGCTGTGGTCACAGGGTCCCGGCGTCCAGCGTGCTCTGTGTTGGATGGTAGAGGATCGTTGGCTCACAGAGGCCTGTCAATGCAGCTGATACTGAGAGAAACTCAATGCATGTGCAATGTTTTCCAAAAATGTTATCGTCAATTATTTTGCGGTTGAGTGTATCGAGGATTGACCTAGATATTACGTAATCCCCAGCCGGTCCGAGCAGATTGGAATTTTTCGGTCACCCTCCCGCACAGTCAAGCTCAGAAAGATATTTATGCCAGGGCGTGTCCCCCAAGCGAGCTCGATGGGCCGAATGGCCTCCTCTCGTTTGTATAGTTCTTATGTTCTTATAAATTATTTCTCACAAGAAGGCTGTATTATGCTGTCAGCTGTCAGCTTCTTTATTCTTTCGTCAAGCTCGCTGCGGGGAACCTAAATGGCTGGGGAACATTTTTGACCAGTGTGGTGGAGGTGTTTGTTACTGTTGTTGTTAACTGTATTTGCGTCGTTCATTAAATCGCTCAGCTGGAAAGAAGATCAGCAACAGGAAACAAGCTGTTCCTGAAACAACTTTGCCTCTCACAGGCCGGGACCTTCCCCCATCGTGTCGCCACTCTTGTCACTAGCTAGGAGACACACTGGGTCTTTATTAGAAACAGACGTCACTTCAGCCTGGTCTCTGTTAGCTGTGGCAGCACAGCTGGTGGCAATAGGGCCCAGCGGAGACGACCTCAGCTGACCGCAAGCGGCTAAACGTCACGGCCCTTAGGTCTAAATCTTTGGTCTCCAGATCACTTTATTGATTTTGTTTGAAATTTTAATGTCTCTTTTTGGTATAACACTCTGTTAGACTCAAATCCGAACTTCGCCAGTCAGGTTAGTCGATCAACGGGGTCACTGTCACTGTCACTGTCGCCAGAAGTGGACAGTTCAGGTCCAGATAGTAAAAATCCAGACCAAGATTTTGTTTCAACCAGTTGAGTATCTGTGCCTGCGACGGGCACAACAAAATCTTGGTCTGGATATTTGCTTCCTGAACCCGAAAAGCACCTCTGTGGGTCTCTAGAAAAGCTGTTGTTATAACACAGGGCACATCGCATCCCTTCATCATCAGGACAACATCACAAACAGACCCTCTGGCCAGTAAGATTTACGTATAAAAAGTCATTCATTCCCTTGATCTTAAATGCTTCCAAATAAGCCTTTGTGATATTTGATGATTTTAAACCCTTATTGTGTTGTATAATGTTGTGTTATGCACGAGCTGTGTACGAGGAGTTTGTTAGTTTGTAATAGACAAAGTTTTCTTGAAACTTGACGTTCACAGAACGACTTTCCCGTTGTCGTACGGCATGTTTACAGTTCTAATGGAGTCACAGATACGCAGTTCGAAAGGCGAGTAAGACACCAGGGTCAAATGAAATACAAGCTCGACGACTGGAGACTTGGGTGATTTAAGATTTACTCTCTGTGGGATTGGTGCTGTGGTCTTGCTCCAATGTGGGGGGGGGGGGCTGTGATGCCTTGAATATTGAAAGAGATTGGAGGGGAGACGGAGAAGCAGTGGAAGGGCGGCATGGAGACAGAAGCAGCACTGTCTAAACAAATCAGACAGGAGCAGCAAGAAATGGTAATTGGTCAAGACAACTGTGAGGATGGTGGGAACAGATGTGCTTTTTAAGCTCTATGTCTCCCTCTGCAGTTCAAGTCTTTCCTGGAGCCTGTAGTCTGTAGATTAAACAGTGTGTGTTACTGATTTGAAGTGCATTTAATTATTATTATTTACATTGAGTAGAGCTGAGCCCTGAATCGTTTCTGATGTTCTGTCTATGCTTCCAATTACCCTTTTGTAGCACATCCATACAAAGAATTTTCCCCTCAGTGTCAGGTGATGATTAAGAGCAGGGCTGGTTCTTTTTTTCCTATATTTAATCTTGTGGGGGTATTTGTTCATTCTGTCCCTTTCTGCCATTCCAGGAGGCAGAATCCAACCTTGGGTGCAGTTTCAGAGGAAGGCCATCCCACTGTCCCTCAACTCCTCCTACACCAACCTGGTGGCTATGCTGACGGCGGCCAAGAGCCAGTACGAGATGGGAGGCTTCCCCTACCCACTGGGCCGGGAGGGCAATGGCACAGGTGAGGGGGCGAGGTACAAGGAAAGGTGGGGCGGGGGCGTGGCACAAGGAAAGGTGGGGCGGGGGCGTGGCACAAGGAAAGGTGGGGCAGGGCCTTTAGGGAAGGAAGTGAGCACAAGCAGCAGCTTGTTGGTCTGATTGGTTTAATGAAGTACTTGTGTGCTTGGCTGTAGCCGGAGATGGCGGCTGGGTGGAGCTGACAGCGGTGGGTGCGGTCAGCACCCGCCTCTCCACCCGCGACGGCAGCACCCTCCACGTGTCGGACCCCGTGCACGTCTCCGTCCCGCTGCCCCCCGACACCCCCCTCAAGGGGGCCACCAGCGTGCCTGTTTGGAGATTTGAAGCCAGCACAGGTGAGAGCTGCCGCGGCGAGGGTCATGTGACTGTGATGGCCACACCTCCTTGGCGGTTTGGATTATATCATAGTAATCATGTATTGGTTTGTCAATAGACATAAACAGTCCCTTGGGTCAGTCTGTGGCTAAGTGGCTTAGCATGCTGGCTGCGTCCAAATTCAGGGGTTGCATCCTTCGAATGAAGCATCAGCAAAGCTGCAGCCTTTGGAGACCGAGTCCTTTGAAGGTTGAGCAGAAAGCCTGGTCAAACGGCCTGGTCTACAGATTATTCCCGCCCTCACCCTGGAGTCACGAAGTGGGACACGCCCACTTTACCTCTGTGCAGTGGGTTTTGTTGGGCTGCACAGGATCCATCGGGTGAATCCTTTGCGACTCGGCCAAAGATGGACGCTTTTCTAGACTGTATTTGAAGGATCCTTTCGAAATGGGACAGCCTTGTTGCATCACTGTCACACATTCAGTCTTTGAATGCAGCTTTAGAAGGACGCAGCTCCTCAATTCGCACACAGCCATTGTGCCTGTGATCAGAAAGTCAAAGGTTCAAATCCCAGAGTTCACAGAATGAGCAAAGCCCTATTACCCCCAATTGTTACTGGGATTGTTTGACCCCCACTATCTGTTTCAGTAAAAGCATCCACTAAGTTAAATGTGCCTGCTCATCCTTTAGACTGTGTAATTGTATGTCAACTAAATTTTCAAACCCATGTCAACAGAGATTTTTGGGTTGCATGCACCCTTGGTCCCAGTGTCACAAGGAGAAATGTTCTGATTCGTACTGGATATCTGAGGAGCATAAAATATACACACCCATCTATCTTCCATCCATCCATCTTACCCAGCACAGCAGTGGTATTGAACGTTGACAGGGCTTCCCTAAGGTTGATTTGTTTGCCCTGATTCCACCCCTCTCCCTCACACACACACACACACACACACACACACACACATACACACACAGACCACAAATAACCTTGAATTATTTTAATTACTTATTGTATCATGTGTACAAGCATATAATGTGTTCAAATAGGTCTGCTTCAACCTCTAACCCCCCAAAATAGTTCTCTGTTTTTTCTTTCCCCTCACTTGCCCCCCCCTGCAATTCCTTCATGCTCCTGGAGGGGAGGGGGGGTGAGTTATGGTGAACCTTGAGCCTATGCTGTGAAACCCAGGGCACGAAGCAGGGGACACCCTAAACCAGGAGTATAGTGAATGCTCTCTTTGACTGAAATTCAGCTATCGATATTGGTAGCTTTTATCGAATTGCTGATTGTCTTCTGTCAGTTTATCACTGACGCTGTGAGAAAGCAGCCCTGCTCTGGACGATGGCGACGGGCTTGCGGCGACTTTAAAGAAACCGCTGACCACCTGGCTGCAATTTAAACGCGGGGCTACGGGACACGCCGGCGCTCCTTTTATTGTTCGGGGAAACCTCGTTTAATGTGGACCCCCTCCCGCGGTGAACATGACAGACAGATGGCAGGCAGGGGGAGAAAGGCCCGCTAATTTGAGGTTTGGGGCCGTCGGCGCGTTTCGAAGATGCTGCCATCAGCTTTTCCTGTCCGGACCGCGGCGCCGAAGGGTTAAAGCGCCCCAGCCGCAGCGCGTGCCTTCGCCCGGCTGAAAGGCCCGTTATGCGAGAGCCTGAAGGCTTTCAGAGAGGCCGCACCAGAGTTTTCCACATAGTGGGGGCTTTTGTGCATCTCCCTTCAGCTTGGAGAAATGAGAGGCTCGCCAGACTGGGCCTCTTCAGTGTTTGCAGCCTTCCATCCAAATTTCATTTTGAAGAATCCGATTTAATCTGAAGAATCTCATCACGGTTCCCTATGCCTTGTGGGATGAATGAAATGCGTTTCCCTGCAGATGTTCACATCACACTTATCTGCTCAGCGGTATGGAGTTTGTTTAGGCTGAGCGCTACGGCTTTAAGTTAGTCGACAGTGGAGGATTTTGTGGACGCCATTTTCGATGTGTCAGTAAACAAAACGGCCTCTTGAAGCTGCTTTCATGCTGTTGCATTTCAGCCTGGGGGGTCCATAGCTGTTTGTTAATCCTTTGCTAAATTCCCAATTTAAGCAGAGGGAGAAGTGATGTTTAAAACTCCGTCCACAAAATAGCAGGATGCTGTAATAATCTGGCCTGATTCGGCGATAAATGTGGTGTAAACTCTGCGAATGGCGAATAAATTATCCCCACCTTCCTGTTTTTTGTCGTAGGGACACTGTTGCCATGGTAACCTGCTCAGTTACAGAAAAGGGTGGAAATTAGTGGAGGGTAGGTGGAAAGGAAAGGTGGAAAGAAGCTGTGTTTCTGTGGTGTTTTGAGGTCCTAAAAAATGCCCATTTGCTGTCCCTGGGGGATTAATACCACAATCTGTCTTTCTATTGACTGGATCTTTCACTATCAACTTGAGTAGCGCAGTTAGTAGTTTTAAGTAGCTCAGTGATCGGGGTGGGTAATGCCATCAGAGCTCAATGTCAGCCCCCTCGTTAGTCCCTCACTCTCCCCCACCCCTGCAAATTATGCTGTACACCCCAACCCATGCAAGCATAAGTTGAGTATATTTTATATAGCTTCTGTAGCTCAACAATGCATAGGTTGTGGGTTCGAATCCCAGGGTGTATAACACAAATTGTACCCCTTGTCTGTACTGTAAGTCGCTTTGGATTAAGGTATCATATAACCGAATAAATCTGTTGGAGTGAGAGGAACCTTTTGCCTTTCAAGTCAACAAAACAGACACAGGGAGGATTTATACATTTATATTTATATATTTGTCCGTAAGGTGACAGTGCGTTATCCTGAGCTATACGTCAGACAGGAGATGGCAGCATAGCAGAGCAGCAGCGTGACCGAGGTGGATGACCGGCCGATTGGGGCGGCCAGACTGGCATTTACGTTCCGTTTGTTCCCCCCCCCCCATCTCTCTCTCTCCCTGCATAGTGACTCTGTCCCCTTTCATAACACATACTTAATAAACCACAAGGCAAGCTCGCCGTAAGATACCCAATCTGTCAGATAGGGGGCGCTCAGGATACCGCATCACACCTGCCTTTTTATCCCATCTAGTCCGGATAAAAGGCGACTTCATTCCCATCGCCTCCTCTGGCTCCTCTTTCCTAGCTGTTGGATCGAGCCCATGGTTTTCGAGTCCGCTAACTGCCCGGAGTTGCCGTTCGAGACTTTTCGTTTCAGCGGGCCCTGCCACGTGCAGAGCAGCTCGAGATGGGAATTAGTATTCAGTGTGTGTCTGTGGGCAAAAACTGGGATACTGGCGAAAGAGCACAGAGCTAGCGAGAAATCGAAATGCGGCGTTTCCGACGGCGACCAGGGCCAGCATCTGGGTCGGTTATAGAAACCCCCTCCCCATTGTGCGTAAAAAAATATCCAAATTGGCACTTTCTTCTATTAGAAAGGCAGGGCTGTATTTTATCATTAGGACTCTGGAGTCAACGTAGAAAGACTGTTGATTTTCATTATTATAACTGAAGCTTTGTGACTGGAAAACAGGAAACTAAGTACTGCTATACCTGCAGGCCATACATTTATATCAAGCTTAAAATCCTGAAGAAGGCCCTCTTCCCCACAGGGTAATGAGACCTTCCTCTACTGCCGCTCAAACAGTGCCCTCGTGTGGCCGGGGTCTTAAATAACATGCAGAGCCCCTATATTCAGGACTTCCATCTGCTGTGCCTTTCCTTCTCACTCTTATTGAATGCTGGATTTTTTTGTAATCCAAGGAGTATTTTAATGGGATCCCACTGGGATTCGTCACAGCAGAGGATATGAAAGAGCTTGGAGAGAGGAAGACGGTCGATTGAGGGTTCGGTGCCGTGTGGCTGAAGCGAGAGTAACATTGACTGTTAGGTTTTGCTTAGGCTGCAGCTATTATCAGGTCTGACTAATGGACCTGCTGTGTAGAAGCTGAGAAGCAGGCATGGGCTGCAAAAGAGACGCACGTCCCTAATGTCATTCTTTTGGTATTTTAATTCTTCAGGAACTACAAAAGAAGACGGCTCTCCATACATAATACTGAGGGTCGCTGTTCACCATCCCCTCATAGATCCCCTCATTTCTTATTCATATCAGAATCGACTATTAGGACTCTATCAGGAGTGCAAACACCGGTGTTGGGCATTTCATGTCAAGAAGCTACAAATCCAGCCCAAGATTTTGTTTCTACCAACCAGTTGTGTGTAAAGAGTCACAGTCACAGAGTACTAACCTGGGGCCTGTACTACGAAGCGGGGTTACTGTCTTATCGGGGTAACTTGTCGGATTTAAGGTAGTCTGGGCAAAATGTAAGTGAACGAATATATAGTCCATTTAAACGGTGGTACCTTAAATCCAACAAGTTAACCCCACTTCGTAGTACAGGCCACTGGTTGGTAGAAACTGAATTTTGGTCTGGATTTGTAACTTCTGGACCCGAAATGCCCAACACTGGCAAAGAACACTAAATTAACACTCCGGCAACACTGGCAAAGAACACTAAATTAACACTCCGGCAACACTGGCAAAGAACACTAAATGAACACTCCGGCAGTGGGATTCCAGCCTATTTTCTTAGACGTGTCAGTGATTTACTTCGATTTAATATAAAGGCCTCCTAGACTGGATGTGTTTGAAGGTGATCGACATCCTTAATGTAACTGCTGGTTTTGACTTCCCTGGTTCCGCGCTCAGGAATGAATGAAATTAATTTCATCCACCATCCTCCTATATGAATCCCTGTATCAGGAATAAAGGGTTTTAGATTTATTTTTACCACATCTATCAGCACTGGAAGCAATCAAGAGCCTTTGCAGACCGAGTTTATTCTTTGCTTTGATTTTAGGGATGGGCAGGGGTGGGTATGAGAGGCTGTTGGGGATACATTTATAGAGAATAGTGTAGTTATGAAATTGCCAATGGAAGCCAAAATATGGCCAAACGTAGTTCTGATTCCAGTGAAATTGGGACCTTATCCATAATACCAGACGTTCTATATTAAATATGAAGGTCAGAGTGTTTTTTTTTTTTGTGTCATCCTTAGTTTAGTGTTTTAAAAATCCATTAACAAAATTCACTGTCATCCTGTCCTGGACTCTTATGAAGGTCAATAAATGGGATTAACAAAATGTACAATCTTCAAATACAATAGTTGATAGGGAGATGGATTGATGGATGGATGGATGGATGGACGGACGGATGGAGGGACGGACGGATGGATGGATGTGTACACATGTTATGGACCAGTATGTTGTGCAGGGTTGTACATTGTCACCATAACCCTGCACTGCATAAGCAGCTATGGGACACGGTCTGATGGATGGAAATAGAAGCACTGTAAATTGCACTCTGTGTGTGTGTGTGTGTGTGTGTGTGTGTGTATACATATATATATATACAAGTATATATATATACTTGTCAAAAGTGTGAAGATGCTGGTCCTGATTTTGGTGTCTGGAAGCGGAAATGCATTCTTATCACGCATAGCCTATCGCATGGATCCCTGTTAGCTGACGGTGGCTTGTGCTCTCATAGGTCTCTGGATCAGGAACGGCACAGGATACATTAAGAAAGAGGGAGTGCAGATGATCTGGAGCTTCGTCGCCCCTCAGCTGGGCTACTGGCTGGCAGCCTTCCCCTCAAGCTCAGGTGACTGAAGCCTCTGCTATGACACATTTAACCAAAACTACAATAAACCCCCATTTCCCAGCAATGAACGTAATACTTACACTCTGTGTTCTAACTGTGCAAATTGAAGTTATATCTGAGTTTATGAGGCCCCATGCAATTTAGTTTGTTTGTTAATTCCTACCCACTACAAATACCTCATCACTCATATTTTCTTGTTTGCTTCTTAATCATTATAAATAAAATTCATATACAAATATGATTCTTCCTGATCGGCTCAGTTTGCTCAAGTTTATAGTGATACTGCATCTTATTGGGTATATAATGCAATTCAATATCTAATGAGTTTTTAAAGGTGTTTACCGAATGGCTTGTTAATTGGTATACTTTCAGAGAGAAAAAAATAAGGTTTGTAGTTATAGTCTAAAATAAACTTTTTGCTACGGATTACAAATTGTGAACACATGAAACCATCAACTGTGTACATCTTTGACATTACATTAGTAATCCTATTCTTTGTTTAATACATTTGTAATCCTATTCTTATTACTCATTTATGTAAAAAAATACATATACTTGTTGTTTTTATTTAATTAATGTTTTGCATTTTGGAAAAAAAACCTAACTATGCTATATGAAAGCCCAAGATTACCATAAAAAAGAAATAATGTCTCATTCAGGCTGAGAGAAAAGGGTTACCTTCACCTTCTTTGCAAAAGCAAAATATCACAGTGCCAGTAAGTTAAAAAGGTCAACATAGCTGTAGGCAAATTCCCATTCAGGCACTATAATAAAATTTAAATCCCTTTAATGGCTGAATAATTCCATGACCCATAAACCTTTGTGCATTCTCCCGCGAAATATAAAACGCTGAATGTGAGAAAACGGGCTAAGTAACCGCAATCCGTCATAACTGCCTGACATTTTCATCTCCTCGACGGATTAAACTGTACTCGACGGATCGAAAATTCAGAGCACCCGTCCTTGCTTGTAACTCATAGCAACAGGCCGGTCTCAGCATGATGCTATTATGGCCTGTTCAAAAGTCCAAAAATGATCCCAGCTTTTCCCAGCATCGTTTGGCTCTGTAACTATAGTTTAAGGGCTGATTTATGCATAATGGTCTTGACGTGATTGGCATATTTTAACAAGAATTTTGTCTGGAACGTAAAAAACTATGTAATTAATGAATAATTAATGATTACATCTCAGCAACCTCAATAGTGGTCATTTCAAAATGAGTCCATCGAAGTGTACTCAAAAACTGGCCGGCAGTTTTGAATAAATAATTAATAACTTATGGATGAAAATCACTATTTAGGTGCTTTATTTATTAATATATCAATGACTTAATGGTATTTACTTTATTAGCCACTTGAAGAAAATCACTGCACGTAGTGCCTTCAGATCTTGAGAAGTCTAATTAAAATCATCCATATTTATTTTATTTCTTATTATTATTCCATTTGAAGAGGGCATTAAAATGTGCTGTCCTTGATTTGCACAGTAATAGAGATCTATAGCATTTCTAATAATCATCCATCAAATTCACAGCTTTCTCATGCATTGTTCTGGTGGATATGGGCCTGAGAGAGATGTGGAGACTTTGTTCAGATCAAGGGCCTCATGTGGAAATTCCTGTTTTTAGCAGGTCTGGCTCTGAACCCCTCTGGCTTACGCGACATCACCACGTACCACACCATCTTTCTCCTCGCCATCTTGGGCTCCTTGGCCTTGCTGGTGCTCATCCTGCTCTGCCTGCTGCTGTACTATTGCAGGTAATTGGAGCGTCAGTGACAGGCATGCTGGGAGAATTCCTGAAGCCTGGCTGTTGCAACATTGTATGAAAAATAATTGGTTCATTGAGATGACCAATCAAGATTGTGGCGGAGGTGGGTCCAAGCACCTAGAGGAGGTGGGACCAACCTCCGCTACAATCTGATTGGTCATCTCTCTGAACCAATCATTTTTCATTCTGCCCTCAGAACATTTTTGTGTAAGTAAAACTCCCACAAGCAAGCAGAGGTAGATAGTTTAGGTCCAGAAAGTAAAAACAAAAAACGTGATACATCAGCCAACCGGTTGAGTATCTGTGACTGTGACACTTTATACTCAAGTGGTGGGTTGAAACAAAATCTTGGTCTGGATTTTTACCTTCTCTACCTGAACCATCCACCCCTGCTCTGACGTTTTCTCTTGCTTAGAGTTCCTCATTCCTCACTGCCCCAGCTTAAAAGTCTCAGGCCTGGATCTCTAGGATTGAGCTGTTTTTCCTACGTCGTCCTTTAGGAGGAGGTGTTTGAAGCCCCGGCAGCAACATCGTAAGATGCACGTTGCCTCCACGCTGGAGGCCTTAAAGCAGGACCAGGGCACCTCAACCTCACACCTCAACCTCATCAGCAGCAGCCGTATCGAGTCGGCCTCCTCCAATGGCAACCTGGACGCAGGCAAAGCCGACCTCTCCTCGCGGGAGGAATACTTCCGCCACATCCCCACCCAGAAGGTGCGTCAGTCGACGGTCAACGTGGATGTGGCCGCCCGACACGGGGAGAGTTTCCCCATGAAGGTGACTCACTCGACTGAAACCAACAACCTGGACGCTCCACGGCGAGATGACAGACATCATTTCCACATCGCAAACGATAACAGGGCCTACTCCTCCGATCCCCCTTCTCCTCCTTCTTTCAGTTGCCACTACCAGGACCCCGGTCATAACGGCCGACCCCCTGAATATTCCATGTCGCAGGCTTCAGAGCCCATGGTCCGTCCCACCTCCCTGAACACCCAACCCGGTCAGCTCATCTTTTGTAGTTCCATGGACCAAATGAAGGAAAGTATGTACCGGAGCGTGGTGCCAACTTTGGTCATCCCAGCCCACTACATGCAGCTCTCCACAGACTTCTCTGGCGTGGAGCAAGCTTTGGAGCAGCAACAGCAGCAGCAGCATGACCGAGAAGGGATCCAGGTGAGCGTGACCCTGCCCCGGCAGACAGCATCTCATCAGCAGCAGCAGGGCCTGCAACAGCAGATAACCGGCCAGCAGGGGGAGCCGTCGGGCTCCGTTCGTATTCCCGTGCTGTTCGACGACTCCACTATGGCCCAGATGAACGGCGAGCTGCAAGCTTTGACGGAGAAGAAACTGCTGGAGCTTGGGGTGAAGCCCCACCCTCGGGCCTGGTTCGTGTCCTTGGATGGACGGTCTAATTCTCTGGTGCGGCATTCCTACATCGAGCTTGGAAATGAACGTGGCGCCAGTGGCTCAGAGTCCAGGCTGGAGATGCGTGACGGCAGACCGCAGCCCCGAAAAGTGAAGGAGGAACGAAGCGGTGGCGGGGAGAGGAAGGGTCATGGAGGCAAGGCGTACTCCAAGCTTGCCTGCATGGATGACACAGAGCCCAGTAGCAGTGACAGCCGCACTGGGATGTGCTCGCCGGAAGACAACTCCCTCACCCCGCTTCTAGACGAGGCTCCCGAGCCCAGAGGGGCTACCTTCCCCCGGCCGAGTCGCAGCCGGGGCAACAGCTCGAGGAGCGCCGACAGCGAGAACCGCCGCGGCTCCGTCACTAGCCCCGAGGAGAACATCGAAGTCGATGACAAGGACGATGAGGGCGAGAACAAGAAGAGTCCATGGCAGAAGCGCGAGGAAAGGCCCCTCATGGTCTTCAACGTCAAGTAAGGTCTTCAGAAGCCATTTTGTAAAAGTTTACGGTTATCCCCTTGGGAACATCTCAAACCTCGTGCCCTTCAATTGTGTCATTGAAGTCTTTGCTGTAAATGGTCTGTAAGTTGGATCAAAGGAGAATAAAGAAAATCGCACTTACTTAAATCTAAGGCACAAAGCACAACTGTGAACTGGACCAACATCTGAAAGCCTTCCTTTCTAATTGTCGTTGTCCTTCATGCTGGGGACTGATCACCTTAACCACACTCCTGTGTATTGGATGCCTTTCAAATTGTTTGTTTGTTGTCATTTCTGTGGCCACCAACCTTGAGCAAAGTCGGCATTTACGCTTTGTGTTCGTGTGACATGAGAGGAAATCAAGACATAAAACAGAAAACCGATTTTCATTCAAAGTGTCTGTCAGAATGTGAGCCGTTTTTAACATTCTCTCCTTTTGAAGGTAACGCCACATGTTAATTCGAAAATTCATCACCTGCCACTGCTGTTTTTTTTTTTTTTTTTTTTTTTTTTAAACATAACCTGCTCTTCACCTCATTGGTGAAACATTTTGTATTGACTTTGGGAGCAAGCAGCAGGCCTAATAGACGTGTTTATTCCTATGGAAAGAAAAATAAAACTTTTTTTCTGTCAGCAAGCAGGCGAAGGAAGGAGTGTAGATAATCCAATTTTTTTAAGGATTGCTGTTTTTTTGTTTTTTTTTTTGTTTTTTTCCTGAAACGGGAGCTAAATGACTTGAGCAGCTGGAGAGAGAGAAAGGAACTTCCGGTCAGATTAAACAAAGTGAAGATATGCCAAACTCTTTTCATCAGACCGGATTGTCCCGTGAATTTGTTTTTGTTTGAGTAGCAGGTTGCTGGTGGGGGGTCGGGAGTCTTTCATTTGGAAGTGCTGCAGAGGTCTGAAGGTCTGCAGCTCTGCTCAATCTTTTGTTCAACTGAATTTTCTTTACTAGTACTGGTGGCATCGAAGCAAGGAAAAAACACCTTCATTTCCTGTTTGCTGAGCTGGGTGGTGCAGTTTAACATTAGAACAAAGCCACTTAACTGTCTCTGTGCGTTCCAGTTGTTGCCTCGGTTACTGGCAGTAACCCTTCCTGTGAAAATCTTGATGAAATTGCTAAAGGTATCGCACTGTCGGGTCTCCTCCAGCACTTTTTAGGCGAGAGGCTGTGCCAGGACTAAAACCGGTACCATGCCTAGGTTTTCATTTACCGGGGGAGTTATCTTACAAATAAAGTAACGGGGAATATTATGAAGAACAAAATCTGGAATATCATTAAGTGTAGTGGTTTAAAACAACTGAACCGCACTCCGCATATGCCACTCAGAACCCTATTTGCTTAGCTGATAAATTTAAGAACAACGGAAATATTCCTTTGGTATACGCATACACACAATAAAAACAATAGTAGTTACATTTTATATATGACAGTTCGAAGTACAAGAATTTGAAGTGTTCTGAATTTTCTATAATCGAATTTGACTGCAGAGAGATCGAGTATCTACTTCAATATAACCCTCTGACTTTATTTTGAACCATCTAATATTACATTTTTATTTTTTTTTCAACGGCATTTCTACATTTTTGTACGCAAGTTTTTTTTTTAAGAAATAAATGTTTAATATACAAAATTCAGCAGGGTGTAAGAAAAAAAGTCACATGTTTGCAGTTAAGTGTGTTTTACAACTTTTGGTTTTAGGTGCTTTGTGGTAATCAGTTCCCTCGAATCACTTTCCAATAGTACACCCCTCCTGGTTTGCCTGACCAAAAAGAAGCAAACCAGAAAAAAGAGCGTTCGTTCTCGGTCGTCTTTGGCTTTGTATTTTTGCATGAGCGCTGAGTTATCCGACAATGCCTTTGCTTCAAGAATTCTAGGCTTACCTGGAACTGCTTGGCCCTTTACCATAATGGTGAGCCCCCGAAGCCCCGCCTTTCTCTAGTCGGTCATCAGTAAATACTTGTGACAAAATACTAATAATCTATTAATGAGTGGAAACAATTCGCCGATGTAGTGCGAGCGGTCCTCGGCTTAAGAACGTCCGATTTACGGACATCTCGTACTTACGAACGGACTGCCACAAAGCCTGTTCTATTAAAACTTCGGGTAAAATGCAATGGTTCGTAATAACGAACGCACGCGCTATTTGTGACGCTCGTGAAAACATCGCGCGACTTCAACGGTTCGTCAGCTCGAGGTACAGTACAGTACCGTATGTAGGCTTAGTTACTATTATTATCACTGTATTATTATTATTCCGACATACCTACAGACTTGGGGGACGGATCTCGCTGGTAACCTGCGCACTGCCCGTACTCCCGTCCTGGGAGTTGAGAAGGAGCTGATACCGATGCCCGAGTTGCTCTCCTCGGGCTGAGAGCTGAGTGAGGTCCGCCCCTGCTCACTCGTAATAGATGTACAGCTAAAATATATAGAATCTGGATTAGATAGTATTTGAAATATAAAGATGTTAAACACAGGATTTGTTCATTAATTTTAAATGTGGAAAAATATTGTACTTTTCTGTAGCATGGTTCATGTTACAAAATTGAAATGCCAAAATGCTGCAATGCACCAATTGCCCAGCAGAGGACGCTGCAGTCTGAAATTCCTTCGGAATTGTTTATGGAACTTCATCCCCCAAAAATCGTGTTCCCCAGTTCGTTTTTACAAAGGACTGTGGGGTGTCAAACTCCAGTGAAACAACCAATGAATATTAACCAGAAGAACGCAAGGTCTTGAACACAATTATGTAGATTACAACCAGAAATTCGAATCGTTTGTCTCGAAATTGATTAATTGGCTGAAATACAATTATAAGCACATACAGCTCTATTAAATTTGTATGGTTTACCAGTAAAAAAAAAGTATACATTTCTACATTTTAAAATAAGCTTTTGTCAGGACTGGTCCTGAGTGTTCAGGTGCCATAGGCCAGACTATGCCCAGCACATATTCACCATATTTCTGCTCTGTTTGAGCTGCCCTGGTCTCCTACAAATGACTTGACTGTGTAGGTGAAAATGTCTGGGGGCAAGTTCATTTGCAAAGTTTTGGGCGTGACAAGCTCACAGAAAGGGACCTGATCATCTAACATTACTACCTAACCTGAAGGGCAGAAAATTCCACCAGCAGTCTGCCAGCATCTAATCGAAAGCCTTCCCAGAAACATAGCGATTGGTTGGACATGATGGCGTCCACATGCATTTGACCATATAGTACAATGATTTGTGACCAGCTCCTCGGGGACCCCAGACAGTCTGCATTTTTGCCCCCTCCCAGCTCCCAGGAAAACAAGAACTGGGGGTCCCCGGGGGCCGGGTTGGGAAACACTGATGTAGTGCATGTATAGGACTGCCTGTTCAACATCACTGGCCTGGAAAACCAGCAGAAGTTTTACACAGGCCACATATCCTTTAACAAGGTATCGTGGAGACAAAGTATTTTCACATTACAGTAAAGTTTCTGCCTTGACTCTGGTATGACTGCACTGTAGTACTGTGTTAACCACTGTGAGGCAGAAGCAGGGGTGGAGTAAAGCTGTAGGTTTGGTTCCTTGAATTAAATCTTTTCGAGCCATTGCTTTTTGCACGGATGTAAGCGAGTCTCTGTTTTTGGTTTCTGTCAGCTCCCGAAAAGCCATGTGCATTGTGGCTTCCCATGCAGCAGGGGATCATGGTCTTTTTGAGTCCATTTTCTCTCTCTTGATTCACCGTGGCAGGTAAACCATTTCCCAATTCCTCTTTTATGTACTTAATTTTTTTAAAAACTCCTTATCACCATCAGCAGTTGTGGTTCTATTTTTTTAAGAAATGAGAAGGGGAAACGTTTGTCAGCTCCCGGGCAATTTTTCCGCAACATGTGCAAGTGTCAACCTTGTCACAGCACCCGTGCAGGACTGTGTAGAATAGTAACCGCATGGCTACATCACGTGTAATTTTGTCCAGCTGTTGCTGAATTCAGCTGTAGAAAAACGCCAAAGGAAAGTGTTATTGCGGATTGTTTGACTGTTGTTGCTGCGTAAGATAACGCATAATAAAACGTTGGCACTTTTCTCTTATCTGTGGTAAATAGAATTGTTTTATTGTTCAAGATGGGGTTTTACATTATTTTTTTTTTTAAGATATTGTCAATCTTCATATTCCATTCAGCAAAAGGGGAAAGGCTTCAATCCATCTTAACAGTGCCAAATTACCACCCTATGCCATCTATCTGATTGGAGACCTGAAATGAATGAACCTTTTTCACCGGTAGGCCTCCCATCTGCATTTTGGTGCCTTAGTTTCCAGCCACTTGTACTACAGCCAATCAGATTACTCCCCCGTCTCACACAAACATTTTTTCCATGCAGATTAAAACAGAAATATGTGCCTGTTCCAGCCTGCACACGGAAATAGGTTATTTTTTTGCCATTATCTAGACACTGTAAGCAACCATTACTTGATGGAATTGCCACTCCACAAGGAAGTTTAAATATTTTGACAATAAACTTTTTATCCATAAATGTAACAAAATTATAATGTTAAAAATTCACAGGGATAGTTGTATATATTTTATAAGGGTTGTTTTTTTTTCTTTTTTGTCCTTTGTGGTTAAATCACTGGTGTCTCCTTGCTCGGCAAAATATTGAGCAATTTCTGAGGAGATATTACTTCGTCAAAATTCTCCACCAGGGGGCAAAATTGGACAAATATGGGAAGTTTCAGGCGGCTCAGGCTTGGAAGAAGGCATTGTTTGATATTTTTGTATAATTTATGTTGCTGTTTTGTATAATAAGAAGGTGTGGTGTAATTCGCCAAACACTGGCAACACAGAAAGCAAAACGATGTCCTGTATGCTTGACTTGACAAATACCACTCGGTTTCCTCTCACCTTTTTTGTGTGTGAACTTTGAAGTACTTTATGCTCGTTCTTATTAAAAATGTTAAAATTCAAAGATTAAAGCATTTAACAATTAATCTGAGTGCTTTTGTCCATTTAATGTGAAAATGGTACAGTATTTAATGTTCTGTCCAGTATTGATAACATTGCATTTTTTGTAGTGTGTGTGTGTGTGTAAATCAACCCAAGCAAAATGTTTAGAATGCGTAACTTCTTAATATAATGACATATACATATGTTTCAATGCCGTAATCTAATCTCAAATACAAATACATTATGCACACAAATACATAAATAACCTAAATATCATTAATCAGAACAGTATATATTGTGCTGTATTAAAAAGAATGGATCTGAAAATCTGGATGCCAGCAATAAAGGATCAGATGGCTACGTATATTTCAGTTGGGTCAGTCAAAATTATGCACTTAAGACATATAAATATTATCTGTGTTTATCTTGAACATAACCATCGAGTTCCAAGTCCTAAATGCTGGACGGTTCTAGCATTGTTTTTGCCTGTCACTGTGTTGTGATGTTTTATTATGTAATTTGTTATGCACACCACACCCGAAACAGCTTCCAACAGAATGGAGGTGGTAAACAGCTCCCTGTAAGTCATGCACTGACAGTATCATGGTGGTAGGACAAGTCGGTCCTGCCAAGAAACTGGGACGCAACGTTTCCACTTCCTGTTTATGGTAACCAGTACCCAACACATTGCCATCACTGAATTTTAACAAAGACCATCTAATCAAGAAAAAAATGTTAAGCTTTGCAGCGGAAGGCATGCAATGCTTGTTTTATTTTTTGGTGTTGTTTTTCCAATAGTCTTTCTAAGTTCTTGATTCAGCATTGGCCAGTCAGGTTTTGCAGAGCACAAAGGACTCTCACTTCAGGAAAACAGTTCCGTTTTCAAAGATAGCTGTCACACGACTATTGTTTCACAGAATTGGGGTCATTAGCTGTCTTCACATGGTATCATGACCACAAACATTGTGCTCAGCTCAGGGCTGTGGGCCCTTACCCATCCCACCTCCAGGAAGCTGACCACAGCTTCTCTGCCAGCGGAGGTTCTAGTTTGTATGGTGAACCACCGCCCTTCAGCAGAAATACATCAGAATGTAAGTGTATCAAACTGAGCTACAAATAAACCACCTACAAAGCATCAAAACAAATTACAGGATCTTGCCTTTTAAAAATACAAAAATACATTTCACATGCTTCTATCAGTCTGTGGCTCCATGCCCCCGGGACCCACCTTCACAAGGTCCTCACCTGTTGTAATTTTAATCAGTGGTAAATGTGTTTTCCAGAACAATTTTGTGTGGAGTGACACACATTCCAATTACGATACGATACGAGATTTTTATTTGCCATTTGTGCATAAAACCACAGTCAAGTTAGTAGAATACTTATGAAAAAATATCTACACAATATCTACACAATCTACAATAAAATTCTACAATAAAAGTGTGGAATTTGTCAGACTTACTAAAAGTGAATCATTGCACGATTTTGTACTAATTATACCCTTTTCACCAGAAGATTTATCTTCTGCATTTTTGGGGTGTTCGAGGAGCACCAGGGAAAGTCTGCGGAATGATATTCTACCAAAACTATAAAGCTGGAAGTCACATTTCTGTAGGCCTAAATTTTAGAGGTTAATATCAAATTTATAAATCTCTTGTTTTTTATTCAGAAGTGGATAGAAATTGAAGTAACTAAAATTCAGCTTAATTGCTATATCGACTGGGGAATCTAAGTACTTTCATTTTTAGTATACAAAGTTTATGCACTTGCTATTCACACCCCTGCTCCTGTTTTCCCTCACGTGAATATCATCTGGTATACGAGTTTCTTCCTGCAGTCCAATGACATGCAGTTTAGATGGGGCAGTGCCCTTACGTCTTTGTGCCTGGTTCCAGTCTATTGTGTTTCACGGGCTTGCTGTTACCCTATGCTGGATTTGCACATTTCAGAATAGCATCGTATATCAGTTGTTCTAAACTGGTTCAGCCTCAGGACCCACATTCTCATTTGGTCGGCAAATCACGACCAAAGGCGTCGGTTTGCATCCAGCATTGACATCGACCAAATCATCAACGAGGCCAGCGCTCCCATAAACGGGGCTCGCATACTGTAGTATTGATAGGGGCACGACGCCCTTGATCGCGACCTAAATTCACGATTAGTTGTCAACCAGTGGAAGATCTTTTTTTTCTAAACTACACTCAATGAAAATGGTCTGCCGACCGATGTCCCGACCAACTACTTGAGAAACGATACTTAAATCTTAGATAACTTTCAGAGAAAATGTACGAACCAATCCCCTCATCGTTGAAAATAGGAGATGTCACGTGCTGTCATGATTGACAGTCCGCTCGACGATTCAAACACAGTTTATGGTCCATTCGCCAATCAACATAGTTATGATTATTTTATACTGTGAATGTTCGGGTATTCTTGTTCATCAGGTAGTACAAAATAGTTTTAGTAGCTCTCTGTCCTGGGTGCGGGAAGGTAAGATCACAGCAATACGATTTGACTTTCTGCGTTTGTGTCGGGATTATTGTAATCGTTATGCATAATGTACAGTTCATTTATAATTTATAATGCTGACATGATCATACTTAAACATTTGGACGAGTACAGTGGCAGAAGTGAAATATACTTTCCCTCAAGCCAAATTTCTTAAGTCCACACTAGTTATGCCGAGATTTAATGAAGTAAGCAACGATAAAACGAAGGAAACCTCGGGTGTCTTGCTTAGTACGTTCGGAACATTATAATATGGACTTTTTTTTCACAGGCTTGCATAATCGACTGTTCATGTATTGTTTTAGATTGAATTAATGATATATAGAAAAGACTTTTCAAAAACCTAGCTATTAAAACAAATTATAATTGATTCCTCTGAAATAGCCTACAATGAAATGTTTCATATAATAACGTAAAAATGTTACGTTTGTGTTGCTAAATATGTGGGGGATTGTAAATTTTACTCATGTGTTTATAGGCAATGCATGTGCGTTTTTTGCAACTCGACATAACAATCTACAATCAGGATGTAGCCTAATGTAAATCTTAAAGAAAACGAAACAAATAAAACGACAGCAACAAACTAGTCTAGTCAAAAGTGCATCATCGTAATCTAATTCACAAAATATTAGTATTGTTTTTATTGCTATTGTGCTTATTTCTGCTCTTTCTGTACAAAATCAATGTAGCCTATTTCATAGTGAGGTATAAAGCGAAACCTGGCCAAAACCCGCTCCGCTTAAAACTTCTTAAATATCGGACATTAATCAAGTCTCCAACAAACGAATGCAATTCGGTTCTGTGAATGCATTCTGTGCTACATAAATCTGTGTACTAGGTTTTATACTGATTATTCAGGTATGATGACAGTCCACTTTACACAGACAAGTTAATGAGGAAAGAGGAAGTCCAGCGTTACATTTCACTGAGCGCAGTGCCACCGAAACGGGGAATTCCTGCAGTCTACTTTAGGGTTGTTTAATGTCTCTGAGAACTAAAACATAGAAAGGGAAATATTACGTGAACATGAAAGTCCATACTCATTCTTAAGTGTGAAATCGCATTTACACCATATTTAGGTATGTTGAAAAGGTCAATCACTTTTTTGTTGTCCCTGCGTACATGAGATTTTGTTGTTGTTGTTATTGTTGTATTGAGTACGCATGTTTCATCTCTACTGTCTTAGCGAGAAAATAATCCTGACTGCCTTTTTCTGGGGTATTTCTGAACTCCCATTATTTATAAGAGGAAGTGAAAGTGCAGTCTGCTGTTGGCTTGAACTCTTCTGTGACGATGGCCATGGAAAGGAGAAATACTTGCAAACATAACTGAAGTACATTAATTGTTCAGTGTGCGACAAGATCATGTGTCACTTTCAGGTCCTTTCTGTCTTGCTCTTCCTCACCCTGGTTATCGCTGCCTCTCCCATCTTTCTTGCTCTTTCCCGCTCTTGCCGCCTTGATTTCTTACTAAACATATCTGCCCCAATTTCAAATTATGACCTCACTGCATATTAGCATGTGCAATATTTTCTTAATTACACCGCCGTAATGTGCAATATTTTCGGATTCATTGAGAATCTGGATCACAAGGAGAGGAGTACCTGTAACATAACTTTTATTTTAAACACCTACTTTTTTGTCATGGTTCTCCTGTTTATTTTTACATTTTTATTCTTTACACTTCTTTTTTTGGTCATTTATATTTATATTGTGATTTGTGTTTATTCTGTTCTGTTTATATTATACTCTATTCATTCAATTTTTTCTGTAATTAGTTTTTTTTTCTCTTTCTTGCACCGACAAGTCTTCCAATTGTACCTTGTACAATGACAATAAAGGCATTCATTCATTCGCCTCCCCTAGATGCTGCGGCTAGCTGTGCTCTGCATGTCCCTCCTGGCCTCGGTGGCTGCCTTGACGTGTCCCGATGGTAGAGTCACTCAGGAAGGCAGCACTTGCTGCCTCAGCGCCTCGGGTGTCTATACATCTTGTCCTCTGCCTCACGTAAGTTGAGTGGTCGCTTCGCTAGAGAACTAGGACCACAGGCACCGTTGCCACTCATCGATGTCCTCTGTACTGATACATCCCCGGCATTTTCCCGGTGATTTTACATTCAACGGAGTCAGTACTGCTTTCATCACCCAGTTCCTGGGAACTGTTCTTTTCTCAAGGCTGTTTGCTGTGAGGATCATGTGCACTGCTGCTCCGAGAGCACCACCTGTGATCTGGAGCACAACAAGTGTGTCAATGCAACTGAATCACTAGAGATGGTCAAGAGGGTTCCCACGAGACTGTTGCTAAAGGTATGGGGTTGTCAGTGGTCCCAGGCTGCACGTATGCTTTAGCTTTCAGCGACTTAGGGAGAAGCTCCATAGGGTTTATCCTTCTGTCCAGCTGTACATGTGAAAAACTTACATAAGAAATGTATTCAATGAAATGTTACATCAAGGGCATTTTAGAAATGTATCTTTTGAAAAATGTACCTTCAATGATGGCAGGAAACCTTGGCATCTTTTTTATGTTACTAAGCAAACTCATTGTCTTTTCTGTTACTAGTCTTCCCAAATGGTCCCCGCTTTCTCAGAAGATACGAATTATAGGATAATGTGTGCAGACAAGACTCGCTGCCCTACCGCTTATTCTTGTTTGAACACAGCCGACGGTTTTGGCTGCTGCCGCTTAAAGAAGGTATAACCCGAATTTACAAATTACATGTATGCATCATTCTTCCCAAAACAGGCACCCAAAAGCGAAAACCCAAAGCATTTAGCAATAAGACCAGCCTCACAGAGAGACAATGTGACAGTAATTGACATTCAGAGCAGGAGAGAAAATAAAGAAAAGACAAAAAAGACAAAACAGGAAGCAGAAGACAGAAGCAGGTATCAGTTACATTAGATGCCAGACAATTCCTTTGATTAGAGGCATCTGTAGGCTCTAAGAAACAATTCTCATTTATTCTAGAAGTTACAAACTCTTTAGCATGGCTAAATTGTATCAGCAGGGATTACAGTTTATAACATTCCGAAAAAAGGAGGGGAGGAGAATAATTTGTGTAGTGTATCTTGAAGGGGATTCCAGTAATGAGCTATGAAAATAAGGTAGATTCATGTTTTTCCTCATACTGTACCTCCCTACTTGCTCTGTATATAACTGTCTGAAATGCTTCCCTAGAGATTTAAGCCTCACCCCCAGTATGTTCTAACTGATCAGCTTTCCTGATTGGTCAGCTTGCCCAGGTAGGCGGCCGATGAGGATGGTGTTACCAGGTGACCTCATCATGTCACAGCAGTAAGGGCTGGAATTCCAATGAGTACTTTCAGGCAGATTAGAGAAGAGTGGTTTCTGTGGTGAGAGTTACTCCCTTTGGCGTGTACTTTGGGTATTAAGACTTGGCAGCCTGTTTACATGCATATAAAGCTATATAGCACACTGAAACAATGGAAAAAAGTGGAAGACCATAATACAGCCCCTTTAAAAAGAGACCACATACCCACTGTATGTTCAGAGTGAGCCTGGAGCCTATTTCAGCAAAGAGAGGGTAACTACCTGTGATGGGATGCTAGTCCATAACATCTGGTTCAACTATTCAGATATTTCTTTATTTCATGAATTATGCATTCAGTTTATTGAGGTAAACTATATATATCATTGTTAAATTTGCTGTATATTAAGAGGATTCTTTTCTTCCAGGGCATCCCTTGTTCAGATGGTAAACATTGCTGTCACAAGGACCACAAATGCAGTGAAGATGGAAGGTTCTGCATCGAAGAAAAAGGTTGAGACTTTTGACTGATTTTGACTGATGCATGGTACTGGGAAGTAATTGTAATTATTGTTTATACTTATTGTTTTTGAAGCAAAAGACGTACATCGTAAGAGACACAAAATATAAGAAATGAGAGCTACAGAAAAAGAAGTACAGAAATGATATACGCTCTTATTTTCCAGATAACAAGGTGTTTGAAAAAACAAGAAATGTTCCTTGTGATGACACCTCTGCCTGTCCCGACGATTCAACCTGCTGCAAGACAACTACAGGAAAGTGGGCTTGTTGCCCCCTGCCAGAGGTAACAAACTGAAATGTAGATGTTCATTGGGGTATTGAGTCAGCTCTCCATCTTACCAAATTGACCAAATTA